ACATAAACAATAAAATAAAAAAAAGATATATAAGTATATCTGCTGATAACATTCATTCATTCATTTTAATTGCTTAGTTTCCGATAATCTCTACCATAACCTTACCCCCTACATGCGTCGAGCAACTTTAATAATTAGTGCAATTAATTACATGTTATATCTTTTATGCAGTAAGGTCAAGACCTACGCCGAGACTGTTAATACTCAAAATGGAATTATGATGTTCATGTACTTAATTTTCGCGCAAAATCAACGATTAGATAGAGGAGGCCATTAAGGGACTCAATCACTAAAACAATGTTATGATTCACAACTTATCATTATCGGTACAATAAAAACGCCCAAGATTACAAATACTACAATATTTATAAACGAACAATAGAATAGGTTGCCTTATTACATATACAAAATAATGATTACAATTATTATTTACCTTACTATGTAATTTATGCACAATCCATAATCCGAGCCATAATCATAACAAGTACACTGTTCAAAAATTAAAAAAATTGAGATTAAAGCACAAGTTTGACCAATTCCAACGAAAGAGGTTCTGTAGCACCTCAAGTTGCGGGTGCACCACGGACCTATGGGCAAGTCGCTGCAGCGATGCTCAGAGTGACCATTGTTCCGGTGTCGCATCGGAAGGTGAACATAACTGAGTCTTAGTCGAGGTGCGTTATGGATGCTTTGAATGCAGCTGTTGGTGAGATCGAGGGGGGGGGTCCTCAGCTGGCAGGGTTCTGCTGGAATCCGCAGGGTGCCATTGTAGCCGAATGCGAGGACCAGTGGACCATGGAACCCCTCTTATTGAACCCTGGGATGGTGCGTCTCTGAAAGTGCAGGGTGACCAAGGTGATGGCTGTGTTATACGACTTTTCGGATGACACGGTCACCATCTTGAAGCGCCTCCAAAGACGAAATCCCGGTAGGGTCTGGTCACATTTGGTGTCGATAAGACATCCCTATCGGGCACTCCAGCACGAGAACTTTTAAGAGCAGGCGGGGGTCTCGCACGTCACTTTTGTGACGAAAGCGAGTGCTCCGGCTGCACCAAGTAAGGTGGAGAGCTCCACCGGAGCAGCAGGACCCAGTTCCGTTTCGACAGAGGGGGCTCAATCCCTCGTTATCGACCTCCAAGGAGCGTCGCGATTACTACCGGCGGGCGTCCTCAGAGGTCGAGAAAGATGTCGATGAGCTCGTGTGGCGGTTCTTGGTTCCGACCAGAACCCTCGGAGAAGGGGGAATATAGTACATCGGTGATGGACGAGGTAACCTTACAAAACCGGCTATGTGTCTCAGTGGTAGAGCTTGGGCTACATAACCGGAAGGTCCGATTTTCGAACCTGGGCTGAGGTAAAAATTTTTCATCTCTGGGCTGCATTAGTAACAGCGTGAGATGAGGACAGCTGCTGTAAATCTTTCGAAGGGAACGCCGTGTTCGTAAGGAGATTCGCAGACGCATTAATAGGGCCATGCGAACTAAGCTGCCTGAGGACTGGGAAGATCTCAAGATCATAAGGACCAAATTCGAAGGTCTAAGCAAGGATCATGGAGGACCTTCTGTGGTATCATAGAGGATCTTCCTGAAGTTCGAAAACTGTATCCGATGTAAGATCCTTTGGAAATACCCGGTGCAAAAAGTGGGGAAACAGGATTTATAAATAAATCCGAGACTAAATCTATATGCTTTTAAAATTACTTACAGTGGTGTGCGTCTACAGAACTAATAGGGTCCGTCACTTTTTTTATGGAAAACACCTCGGATAATACTTGTCGTGAGGTACTATTAAAAAGAACTTTTTTTTTAATACTTATCACAACATAAAAAACATTACCTAACTAAGTTCATTATAAAATTAATTAAAACTATTTTCCTTAATTTGAATGTTCTCTTAATGTTGATTATGTAATAGTTTTTTTTATGCTACTGTATGTATTGTAAAGGTACTCTTTAATAATATCATTGTTTAAATGAAGTATTTAAGCAACGATAATATAAATGATCTCGAGTGAAAACTAATAACCAAAAAAAAATATGCCCCCCTTGACCATGGAGAAGTACGCCACTGGTCACAAATTGAAAGCACGTAGGTTGGTAGCAATTTTTTTAAAATTCTACCGTACCATAAAAGGCTTCTTTTAAAAAACGTATAAGTAATTAATATACTGAAATTTATTCTGCGTAAAAGATCTTAGCCCAATTTCACTTCAATCTTAGGGGCTTTCCTCATTTTGAAAAAGACCTCAAAATTCACAGGAGATCTGGGTACTCATATTCAGTTAAAGATAAGGCAAAAGGCGTAAGAAAATACCGAGAAAAAGACGATCTTTTTATGTTCTTAAACTTTTGTTAAAAACAAATGTTTGTATTTTCAACGGTTAATGAAATATGGTCAAAAAGGTGAACATCGGCCGCCATTTTCCAGCATGCACGAATGGTGACTTTTGATATGTTGTTACTGGCTCCTAGTACTACACATACGCAAAGTTTCCTCTTTTCGGGAATTATTTTCAGGTAGGTAGATGGGTATTTTTCTAATATGACTGGCCTATGATGGACGGCAGCGGTTTATGGAACGATTGAGGGATTTCTCGGATTGCGACGAAGATTTCTTGGATTGCAGTACGGATTTCGGCCAGTTCTGAAAGATTGCGGAACGAATTCTGCATCGATTTCGAAGATTGTGAACTAATTTGTGACAAGATTGCGAGAAGCAATCCATCCTCGGTATCCATCGGATCAGTTAATCAAATTCTGAAGTGTCCCCAACAAACACATTCATAGGTACCGGGGATAACAAAAATGTGCACTTGTTTCAAAAAGATCATACTCAATTTCCGCAGAAAATGTGTTTGAGAAGGAATTCTTGGGAATGAACGTATTGGGCCGCAAATTTATTCCTCTCTTCCTTCGTTCCTTTCGTAAAAGGCGCGTCTTTAACCTAACACAATCTCATGATAAAAACAACTATAAAAACACAATGTGGTCTTTTATATGTACAAATTTCCTTTAATTACAATGTAGAGTAAAAAAATAGCTAATATTAAATTGAGTTATGTGAGAGACCTTCTGATTACACAATCTTTGTAGAATCTGCGAGACGAAGACAACTTTTAATTATTTTCAGAACCATGAGACTGCGACACATGAAGCTTAATCGACGGTTGCCTATTGATGACGGTCTCCCGCCTTGACTCCGCTTCGAGTTCCTCTTTTTTCTTGCTTTAGGTACATTTTAAAACGGTCGAAGACCTAAGACACAGAATACCACACGAATGTAAACAAATTATTTACAAGAGACTTAAAATCTCTAAACTAAGATAAACCTCGAGGTTAACCTTCCATTAATAAAACCTCCCCCTAGCTATTTTCGTTTTTTTTTAAATTAAAATTACAAAATACAATCGGTGAAATTATTTATTTATTTATTGTCCCTCTCTTGCTCTAGACCCACAACAGGCTTTTCCCAATTACAGAGGGACCCGCATAATACTTTTTAGAGGTACCTCTGCAGAAGGGAAATTATACTGTTATAGTTCAAGAGCGATAAAAAAGGTGCCCCCGTGATTAAAGTGAAATCAATAAAATGTACGATAGTTTAATGGATCATAGAGCATAAGGTCGCCACCTACAATTTGTCTATGGCTCTATTAATCATGTGTAATAAAGAATCAATCAATCAACCTCTCATTTTTTAGAAAACCGAATACTGTAACATAAATTAGGTACGTGATTTATTTATTATCATTATTAATTATTAAGTACACAAATTTATCACATACGAGAGCGAACTTCACTAATAATCACTTCGGCATCGATATTGAAAGTGCAATTAAACACGATTTAATTTGATTATATCGCAAACCTGCATTTCTCGGAAAGAACCCCGCTACATCCGTCTTCGTTCTTTATCGACGGTGACTAATCTTTTATCGACTCGATGATAGACTGCTGGCGCCCCGATGTCTGGGATACTCGCTACAATACTTTGTCGAGTGGTATAAAAGTAGTTTATTGGCAAACGCTCTGGACACCTTTTGGATAGGAATGTGGAGAGATAGGCGCTAAAATGCTTTATAAAGACCTCAAAAAGTTCTTCAAAAGGCCTTTCGATACTTTTCAAAAATCTCTTAAATGCTTGCCAGGTGTTTTCGGAGCAATCGAATATTTTTCACCTCGTTTTTCACGACCTTCTAGGAACTAACCCTAGCTTTAAAGCGTAAGTAGGTACTTTTCAAAGTCCCTTCCAGAGCTTTCTACACTTTCTTAAAGACTTTTCTAGAGCCTTCTAACCCTGTAAAAGACATAATACACTAAATTTTTGGATTATCCATGAGAATAAGCGAGGTGAAAACGTGTGCCGTGCATTTAACAGGCACGCAAGGTGGTTTTATGCACCAGTGGCTATCGTCAATGACATAATTACAGCGCACTTGACAATCTCATCCACATTTGGTCAATTCTTAGTTTGAACAACAAAAAAAACCTCAAGCATGACCAGATTATTATTATTATAATTAGGAAATGCATTAGCATAATAAAAAACGTACATACAGCATAACTACGTATGTAATTATTGTTACATAAATCGATTACGGCGAAATGAAAACGTATTACCCACCGGTAATGCGCTTGCAGTATTTCTTTTTAATTCAGGTAAATTACTATTTGGTATGGTTTTCGCGGGTTTTTTTTGGGAGCGATCTCCTCGCCCGCGCAATTTTGATAACAAACCGTGTACCTACTCAACAATAATTATTAGTCCAACGTAGCACAAACGCGCTCAGGTATCATAATTGAAGGTATGTATCGGCACGCCCACCTTCCATAAACATTAACAAATTTAAAAATTGTTGTGACTACCTACATGTTCGACAAAGATATAAATTTAAAGGGTCGTTTAATGTTTACGACTACGAGACAGGCAGCAAGGTTGTATCGAACGTTGTGCGTTTTAAACAGCCCCCGCGAACAAAATTTATAGTAAAGGGAGCAAAAGGGCTTACCAATTGTAAAACTGTGTTGACGACTTCCTTATTAGACACCTGGCCAACTTCGATAAGTCCTATCAGAACGGCAAATTTTAAGTTATCATTCAATGCCATTCTAACCACCTCTTCGGGGTGCTTAATGTCACTAAGAGGTGGAGCACTTAGGTCCGCCATCACGAATATATTAAGGGCAATTGTTAATACACAAATATTTTGATTGTACACAAACACTTTACACAAAACACGGAAAATTTCGCATCACATGATAGAAGCACGAAACACCACCTGCCATGTTGAAACGAAAGTGACAGACCGGTTATCTCTTCTTCCTTCCTTATCGTATAGGTATTTTCGTTTTCTTCCCAGCGAACCAGGTGAATTTTCCTAGAATTGTCAAAAACATATGAGCGTACAACATAACCTTAAACGTTCACAAAATTTGCTACCAATTTAGGACATAATGGGCGAAATCTCTAACGGCACACCGGAAATTAGCCACAGGTAATTTCAACCTAAAATTCTATTTCATTTACCTCGCACTTTTTAGCTCGGCAAACAGCAAGCGTCTCGATTACATTTCGTGGCACGAATACTTCATGGCCACGGCGTTCTTAGCCGCAAAACGTAGCAAAGACCCCGTGACTCAAGTCGGCGCCTGCATAGTCAGTGACGAAAACAAAATCGTCGGTATAGGCTACAACGGCATGCCGATCGGCTGTCACGACGACCACTTCCCCTGGGGCAAAGAAGGACACGAAACCAAGCACCTCTACGTGTGCCACGCCGAAATGAACGCGATCGTCAACAAAAACTGCACCACGCTAAACAAATGCCGAATGTACGTTGCCCTATTCCCCTGCAATGAGTGCGCTAAATTTATTATACAATCAGGTATACGCGAAGTAATTTACATGTCCGATAAGTACGCGCAGAAATGCTCTACAATTGCATCGAAAAAGATGTTTGATGCGGCCGGTGTTGAGTATTGGTAAGCCTCGAACCTCTCGGTAGCGATTTACTTGTGTGTTTTTCAGGCAGTACACACCAATGAATAGGAGGCTGGTAATTGATTTTAGTGAAATTGACTGGAACAGTATGCAGCAAGTTCCTACATCTCCCTTAAAAGATCTGAAGTTGCAGGAGTCTTGACTGCTTTCATTTTAGGTTTATGTACGAATTTTGATTGTCGGTTTTTCATTTTAACTAATTGTACAATATCTGGAATCTCAAACATACCAAATGTGTTCTTGTGCATTAATTTGTTTTAATAATTTCATTTTAAATTAGAAAGCATGTATCAATAGCCAGTTTCTTGTAGTTAAGGACCCAGAGGAACACAAGTCAATTTTTGTGAATTTTAAGATTATGAGTCATTTTCTTAATTGACAAACCATTTTCTTATTGCTCTGGCATCCGATTTTGAACACGGGCAATCCAAAGCAATTGCTTATTCTATGTGGCACTTATAATCATAAAATATGAATCATTCTTGACTGAGGAAATGTACACTGGTTACTCCCACCTGCTTTGCCTATTTATTATTTTAAACTCGGAGGTCACTATATCGTGACCTTGAGGCCTATTGTACCCTCCAGCTGTATCCTCACTCCATTAATATGTCTGTGCTTTGTTTCCTCTCCAAACCCCTTGCACAGAAAGGTCTATTTCAAGGCCCATTTTTTGCATAGGTTTTACATTCGACAGTGCTCTGTTACTAGGCCTATCCATAGGTGTAAATATTCTTATACTGATGAGTTTCGGCAAGTATTCAATCCTTTGACTGGAAGGTCCCTTGATTTGTATCTGACCAGAAGTATTTTTTTAGTATTTCCCTGTTGCCAACTTTTGGCTAGTCGATGGGCCATTTCGTTACTCTTCAGAGTAGAGTGCCTGGATACACTCGTATCAGCTTGACTTTATTATTTTCCACCAGCTTGCTGAGGTTTCAGATGCACTCCAGTACCACGCCATGATTCATCTTTTGCGTCCCCAGCACCCCATAGCAATAGGCGTTCTGCAGAGGAAAAGTCGCCTCTTTCAATGGGATCCTTTTTCTTGTAAACGGCACAAGGGATAGCTCGCTTTGGTGCAGGATTAACTGAAAGACGATGCCGAAGCGGAGAACCAACAGAACAGCTCAGCAGCGAGAAGAGGAAGCTGAGCAAGTTGATTGCTGATTGTAGTTAATCTGTGCCGATAGTAAGAAAACAGGGTGGAATCGAAGGTCTGGACCCATAGACATATGAGAATTAAACTCATATGTCTATGTATCTGAGCCGCGATGTTTGGATATGGGGTTACTAAATCTTTTCTGTGTTGGGGGATACAGAATACGCCTACACAAGGCCATACTTGAAAACAAACAGACAATACAAAAGCCATTCTAATTATCCCGCCTGTAAATACAGTGAATAATGCATCCTTTGATATAAAGTAGTATTATCTTTGCCATTTGGAAGTGTTGTAGTTGTCTCTCTTGTAACAAGCTCATTAAAAGTATATTTACTTATTTATGTACAGTGAATCTCATTTAGTTCAGGTATAAACCTTCAATTTCTCCGTTTTAGTTGAACAGAATATCTTTATATTGTACCACCACTTTCTCGGGGCTCGCTTTTGAATCCGTTGGCCTACTTCTGATAGTATCATTGTATATGTTATACAGGTACTATTCATTTTCGTTATCATCTTTGTATAGATTGATAATTTTAGCGCTACTACAGACACATCCACATAGTTAAATGATGATTTGAAACGTTGTGCGCAATCGCAATAACCTACAATTTTGTTCAGCCATTGATGTTGATCGCCTATCTGTGTATCCAAAAAAGCAGGTATTTCCAATAAACATTATTTATTTGAAGTTCTAAAAGCAAAATACTCACTAAAACCCGGTTTATATAATTAAAATGGATGTCACTATTCGTGTTTCTCATACTGCAACTCTGTATACAGACATACCCAAAGTGCCACCTAAGCTTAGCCCCAGGCTGAAAAATGTGCTTCTGTATACAATAGACCATACCTACAACTTAATACGTTAATCTCCAGCACACGTTAGCGATGTATTTTCGTATTTCTGAATGTTATTAAATTCTGCATGTGGTTCACTAAAAATAGGACCCTCCATATTTGAATTACCTTTTATGTTCATATTCTTCATTGTTCCCTTTTTAAAGACACTCAATATGTCATACTCACTTTGCAATTCGAGAGCTATTTACTTTTACAGCGATAATAGATAGTAAAGCACATTATGTGAGGTTAAGTAACCTAGCACAGATTTTTTGTTTTTTAGCAGCATGACTGATTCTATGAATTTTGGTCCCGAATGGTTACGAAACCTGTCTGAAGGTTCGGCGGGAAGTGGTGCGGTCCCCGTGGCTCGGTGTCCGTTGGCCGAATATAGGTAATGTTCCTCATTATAAACTGTTTCGCATGAGTTTCATTGGGATCTGTGGAGTGGTAAGTGCTAGCTGTACAGAGCTGAGTAATACACAATTTTAAGTAAGTACATCGAGAAATTGCAATTTCTAAGTCCGAGTTTTCAGTTGCATAATGCAAAACTAATACATGAATAGATGCAATTGATGGTAGTATTTTATACTAGGGATGAGGGATGGTATTTTATTATTACAACGAGAATGTCAGGGTCAAATCCTCGGAATTTAGATATTAATTTAGTGAAGAATGCTATTTCCACACAAAGCAACAAAAATTATAATACTTTTGGGGTGTGGTTACGATTTTAAAGAATTCAAATATGTCGATTTTTCCAGCTCTTATATTTCCACACAGCAAATTAAAGCAATATTTACCTACACATGATCTGTTCGTTTTGAAAAATGTATAAAAATTCTATACCAGTGACTTTGTATCTATTTGTTTTCAATACACTTATTTAACAGGTTTGAGATAATTGAAAGTGATTTTTTAAAACCTTGTATTAAATCACTGGTTAAATTCAAAAACTCATTACACAAAGACAACATTAACATTAAACTGGCACACAGCACCTGTTGCTGTTATTACTTTATTATTTAAATTATGTGCTAAGTAGTAGAAAACCCTTGTGTGTCATACTATGTAACTTTCCTTGCGCAAAAGGTCTAAAGACATTGTTTTGTCTTTGTATCTAATATCATCTCGAATGTCATGCTGGGTCCAATGTGTCTTTAAAGACTATGTCTAAGTATGTATATTGTACACCAAGCATAAATCTAGAGCTCTTATCCTTTTTTTTTCATTATTCCACAACGTAGGCGCGTAGGGTTACGTGTATAGAGTGTAACAGGTGAGTATGTCAGAGAAGCAAAATTGCCACACTCGCACGAGTGGTTAAAGTGTAAGTTTGTGAGCCTTGCCATGCTTGTATGCACAAGGGAAGGTATCAACATAGGTGGTAAGCATGGCGCTTTTTCTTTGAAAAATCAACCCTAAAGAAAATTACATTCCAGTTTCACAATAAGTATAATATAGGATTTAGCTTGGGAAAAATTGTAAGATTTCACTAAACGTTTCAGAACAGTGTGTTGTTCTTACAGTGAATAATAAACTGTTGCTTAATCTTTGACATTACTTTATATAGGATGATTCACGTTGTCTGTTCGTTAGACTTTTTTAAGGAGAATTTTCTGTTTACCAAAAATTGTTGCTTGTCCTGAAATGCCCTCAAGTGGAGGTAAAATCATCATTTCACACAGGGTGATGAGAAAATCAAGAAGTAATTATATTTTTCAAGAATGTTTGTGAGAGAAAATTACACTTCCAGTGATTCCCGCATTGTATTGAAGAAAACTGCTCTTCCTAACTTTCTCTCTTCACTAATTTTGTTGGAAAAACGGAAGAACTTGGTACAAAGAGTTGATTACCTTTTCCCAAAAGTCACCAAGGGGTAATACAGGTAGAATTACAGACCTCTCCTTTGCTGGGTGGTATTCCATACTCCCCAGACCTCCGGTACTACTTTCTTTAAAAATTTTTAATAGATAATTTGGGAGACTCCACACGATTATGAGAATGTTTCCCAACACACAAAGATTTGATTGCCCGAATCTGAAGTTTTTGGCAATTTTTGATTGCCAATTTTGAAACATTGCGGCAGCCCTGGAAACTTTTTCAAGAATTTCGGCGGTCACTCAAAAAATTCCTAAGGGATTCTATTATAAAAAAACGCACTCACTTTTCTTCAACTGTTTAATCTTTAAGAGATATGAATTTTTTAATGGACCCTTCGATCTGTATGGAATACCCTCCAGCACACAAAGATTTGATTACCTTTTCCCAAAAGTCACCAAGGGGTAAACAGGAAGAATTATTGACCCCTTCTTTGTTGGGGAGTATTCCATACCCTACAGATCCCCCATACCACTTTCTTGCTTTAAAATCTCTAAAATGTTAGCAGTCATACGATAATTTGCAAGAAAAGATTTAATACGACAAACAGAAGCAATCTAGCTACGTTTTTTCTAAGATACAGGGTGTTTGACTTTTGGAATCATATCTCGTATGTAAGATAGAAAAAATGTAAAAACTGTTTATTTTAGATATTTTTACTTAGAATCCAGTGGCGTAGTAAAAAAATATTTGTACCACTTTTCGGAGATTTGACCCTAAGTTGGTATTTTTTGAATACAACACTTTGTATATCTTACCGTCAGTTTTTTTCCTGATTACATTTATGTATCACAACCTATTTTTTTTTTCAATTTTAGACATGATGAACCAAAAATAAAATTTTTGATGGTTCTTAAATAGCATAGATTAATGGAAATTTTGTTTTGTTTATTATATCCATGGTAACTAAGGCAGCATATACCAATCAATAAAAATATCTGACGGATATTTCAAAAATTCGAAAAATATGATGTGAGACTGCAAAAAATTGACGTTAAGATCTACAGGGCGTTGCATTTAGAAAATACCAACTCTAATCTCAAAAAAGGTAGGCCAAAATTTTTTTAGTACGCCACTGGATGCTACGTCAAAATATTTAAAATAATCAGTTATTATCTTTTTTCTATCTTACTCTTATATGACTAGTTTTCACCCTGTATTTCAGAAGCAAACGTAGCTAGGACAGACTGTGTTTGTGGTATTAAAAGTTTGACACTGCGCTGGGGATTCGACCAATGATTTAGTGGCGCTTTTAGAAAACCAACAGCCGCTGTTATTATCCCGAAGCGGGGATGATTCAGAAAAGGTTGGGATGTATGCTTTAAAATGTTTAATGTTCGGAGTCCTACGATAATTTATGAGAAAAGACTTTCCAAATACTCCCCAGCACACAAAGATTTGATTACCTTTTCCCAAAAGTCACCAAGGGAGTGCTAGGGTTACCTCCTTTATGACAAAATACGCTCCACTCACTCCCGCGACTGTTACGTTTTTATCACACGTTGTAAGTAGATACACTCCAAAGTGCTGTTTTGGGAAATGCAGTTGGTGTGGCTCACGATTTTCCATTACTTTACTTTGCACTACCATATTCAATTTAGTGTAATGTTCAACTCGATCCGATCTACTTCCACTGATCTTTCGCAGTGATAAATACAACAACATAACCTTTTATTTGTAATATTTCGCCTAATGAAATTGTTTTCACTGAAGGTATGGTAGAGAAGAAATGTTGGCGCTACATGACAAAAATCTACGTCCGCCTATTTCGCTCACCGGTTTCCCGTCTCTATATTCAGAACAAGTTCTACCGCCGCTCGCACTTATACCGCAAACAGACGAGGATGTAGGTCTTTGAACAATGAAAATTTCGGTGTATTTGATCTGTGTGATTATCTAGAGAGGTTGGCAGTCACGTCCCGTACCGCCGGCTGGAGTAATACGCGGCGGTCGCGGTGGGTCTTTAGAGAGAGGCGGTCGTATCAATAGAGGGCGTGGTTCTTATCAACAGTACGGGCGTGGCGGGTACGACGGATCAGGAGGGTGGAACTCGACCGAACAGACAGAGTGGAGCCCACGCAAGGATTACAATACACGAGCTTCGTCTGTGGATAACTGGAGACGAAATCGAGGTGCTGAGGATGATGATGGGTGGCGTAACACCAATAACACGCGTGGGCCTTTGGAGAAATGGGGTAATTTGTCCTTTTTGCGCTATTAATTGTGTTCATTTTGATATATTCATAGGACGTTCAACTAGTTGGCGGGATGGAGGGGAGGGGGGTGAAGAGCGGGGACCTCCCGAAAGAGCCAATCGTAGCAGCTGGCAAGAAAATGCACGTTCTGTACAAAGAAGGCCGTGGGAAAATGATGATCATCTTCCCGAGTGGGCCATGGAGAACCCCAGCGAAACGGGCGGAACATTTGATGCTACGGGCGCTTTTCATGGCTCTGACGATGAGCAAGTAATTTATCCTTGTCTTAGCGTTACTGCAGGGTGTAAATTGTTTTTTTGTGTAGCGGGACCACAAGCATGTTAATAAACGTGAGCGTGAGGTCCCATTGCAAAAGTCCGTATCCCAACAAAACATTGTCACAAAAACACATCCGTCAACGTTACCCTCATCACAATCGGCGATTTCACTCTCAAAGCCACCAGATGATATCACGATCGAAGAAAAATTGGTAAAAGAGTATCTCTTCCACTTCCAATATTTATTTGTATTTCTAGCATGACAAAGAGGAGGAGAAGCATCGTATAGCAAAAATAGACAAACGAGGTATGAAGGAGTTTGATATCGAACAGCATATCAAACAAATACACAAAGTTGAGAAAACGCCCCCCAAAAATTTGGATAAACACATGGATAATGTTTCACATATGAATAATACAGAAGCTATGAATGGTATTACAGTGCCCGATTTAAACAACAGGTACATTTCCTTTGACTTTCTTCAATTTCAAAAGTATACTTATGGCAAAGATAATACTACTGTAGCTGAGAAAAAGGTAGTAGCATGCTATGTTTATCGATATTTACCTTCTTGGTAGGTGATAAATGAGAAGGGGCAAAAAATTTATAAATTGAGATCCGGATAATGAGTCCTGGGGTTTTCAGCATTAGGTTCGTATTATACAGTTATTCCTGCATCGATTACTCAGCAAACTGAAGTCCATAATTTATGAATTTCGTTTTTATAGTAAAACAAAGGGAACCTTCAGGTCGCGAAGCGCCGCCTTTTTCGCTCACATTGATTTCAATACGCCACGCCGCGCATCGAGTGTATGCCTATGTAAATCAATGTTAGCGAAAAAGAAGAAGGTAAAGCAGGTTATTGCAAAAACAATTGAACGCCCTGCACCATCTTTGTTTTTGAAATAACTGACTTTTTGTTTTTACGAAAATGATGATAAACTGGTTCTCTTTAAAAATGTGAAAAAAAATTTTTTAGTTTATTATGCGAAATTTAAAGCAAATTCAATTTTAAAATTTAAGATGGCAGTTACGCCCTCTGTTGGTCATTTTTAGAACTAGAAAATATTTTCCAGCGATTCTTCATGACCGATTTACCCAATAATTTTTTTTACCGTTAAGTCATATGACGGACGGTTCTCGAGATATGGGCGGGAAACAGTCTTATTGGGTCTCTTTTCATACTAGTGTGTTAAAAACATTGACTCTTGTCTGCGGATAAAGTTGAGTGACAGTGTGTATGTAGTGTAGTATTATCTTTGATGCTTTTAGTTTTTACTGCCGATAATGACAGCTTTACTGCAAAAGTGTCCTAATAAAATTTGTTTATTGTAAATTTGTAGGGTGGAAGAAGAGTTCGACCGATTACAAGAAGACCTCGTAAAAAAATTAGTTGTTGACGAAGAAACTCCGAAAAAGGTTACAATTGAAAGTTACAACATGTCAGGAAGCGCTAATAATATTGTACCACCTCCGAACTTGTCGCAGCCTTTACAAGATAAATGGTGTTATCAAGATCCTCAGGGTGATCTACAGGGTCCTTTCCTGTCATCAGAAATGGCTGAATGGTTTAGAGCTGGATATTTCACATCGACGCTGCTCGTGAAAAGGCAGTGCGACGAAAATTTTTACCGCCTGGGCGATTTGGTTGCGATGTGTAGTGGTAATCCATTTCAGTGTAATATGCGTATTCCAACTCTTAAACATGAAATACCTGCACCAGCTCCAGATAATGATTTATTACAGTACCAGCTGTTGCAAAGGCAATTTGCGTACAGGCAAGCTCAAGCTAGTAATTTAAGAACTTTAAACCAATCAGAGCCTTGGTCCAATTTGTCTTCACTTCAGCAAAGAGATCTGCTCAATCAACAAGTGCTTGTTCAAGCGCAGGTAGAATTATACAATTTGCTTTACGATGTATACATCTAAACATTGCAGATGGGACCCGATATACAGTTATACCAACAATCCCAACAGCCACCGACAAATCCTTTAATGCATATGATTAGTCAAATGCAACAGGTTGGTAAGGAAAAGTCGAAATTTTCGTTATTTGTAATTTTTTCCATTCAGGGCAATAAATTATCCGGACCCACCATGGCAGACAAGCCTCCCTCAGTCCAACCTCAGCTGGATCCCATTCAAACACTTGTCCAGCAGATGGCCGGCCTTCAGTCATTATCGAATAATCTTCACGTCGGCCCTTCTCCCGGTCTTCCTACCACAATCCCTAACAGTGTTGGCATCTCGGGTAGTATGCCGACGAGTGGACACTCCACAAACTTATCAAACAGCGGATTGTTGAATAATTTTCAAAATTTACCCTCCGGTCCACTACCCGTCCCCGTCGGTTTATCAGTGAGCGGCGGAATACCGGGTAGCGGAAGCTTACTCGTCAGCGGCGCCGGCCTCCACAATAATAATAACAGCATACCGGTCAGTTCCGGCGTTTTAACGAGTAACACCGGAATGCCGGGAGGTGACGGCATAACGAATAGCAGTGGACTCCCTGTTAGTTTGCAAAGTGGGCTTCCAGGGGGGTTAACCGAAAACACACTACCTCCGCGGCCGAACCCTCTCGGCGCAGTGGACCCCCTATCTTCGGCCAATGAAAACGACCCCATAAAAAATTTGTTACGACAGCTGGCCAATAAACAACAAGCACCACAGGTTATTATTATTTCTATATTCTTATTCCAATTGTCGGAATGTTAAGGGTAGAAAAGATGCCAGGTTTTCAAAGCAGAAGTTGCATCTTAAAAAATGATAGATGTGGATGCTTTACTCAATTTAACCAATCTCAAAATCTTGGTAATTTATTGTTGTTGCGTAGCTTAAAATCCATGACAACGATTATTGAGACAATGGTGGTCATGGATTTTAAGCTAAACTCAGTTTAAATTTGTTGGTGCAAACGGCCATTAGCAGGTTAATGGGCTGAACAATTTTTTGTTGTTTGTTTGTAACAACATGATTTTTTTAGGCCTTCTTTCTTATGTCTTTCTTTTTAATTGGCACCCCCTCGAAAAAAAATTACTAGATATCACTACTAGCTTTTTCCTGCATTTGCTTAAAACATTCCAGCAATAGAAATGCTAATAGCTGACGTTCGTAGTTTTGCCGCCAGACTACCATGTGGAATGTATGCATTTGGTTCATTTACAGCTAGACACATTGTGGCAACAAAACCAATTTACAAACTCGCAATCAAAGTCTCAGTGGCAAAAAACCGAGTCGCCGTTAGCCATGTGGGATATACCGACGCCTACAGTTCCGATGCCCATACCGAACAACGGAGTCCCGACCGAAAAACCAAGCGGTCCAACGTCCGAACAATTACAAAAACAAGAAAAGGAGCGTCAAAAACAACTGAAAGAGAGTCAGGAACGCGAACAGAAGAAGAAACGCGAGGAGGAGAAACAGGCGAAGAAGGAGGCCGAAGAGAAGCGAAAGGAGGAGCAGAGGCGGTTAGAGGCCGAAAGGAAGGCCGTCGAAGAAAAGCGCAAAAAGGAGGAGGAGAGGATTAAAAAAGAACTGGAGAAGGCGAAGAAGGAGGCGGAGGAGAAAAGAATGCGGGAATTGGAGGAGAAACGTAGACTCAAAGAGCAAAGGAAGGCGGAGGAGGAGGCGAGGAAGAGATTTGAAGAACAAAAAAGACAGGAGGAGATAGAGAAGGCAAAGTGAGTTGGTTTCCTTTGTTTTTGGGCGCATGCATAATTTGTTTGTAGACGAGAGATGAAAGAAAAAGAAGAGCAATTACGACGTCAAGCTGAGCAGAATCGTATTGAAAACAGTAATAAAGCATCGCGGAGCGCGCCTTGGAGTCAAGCGAATTCGACACCCGAGCTCAGTTTGGCGGACATTCAAAAGGCGGAGAGAGAGAAACGCGCCGAGCAGGCGGCTCTGTTGCAGATGCAGCGCGCGCAGCAGACGTTACACGAGCAGCAGACCGTGGTCGAGAAGCAAAGTTTGCAGTTTAGTTGGGCGAAAAAATTGCCCGAGTCCGGAAAGGTTAAGACTCTCGCAGAAATACAGCAGGAAGAACAAGATCGCGCTGCGAAGGCAAGTGTGGGCAGTTTTCTCGATAAGAAATTGTCACATTTTATTTTCACAGCAAAATGCCGAAGCCCGACTTGCGTATCAGAAGGATAAGGAGAGCCATTCCGTAATGGCGCCAACCGTTGTTATGCCTTGGAACAGTTCTAATCTTTCCTGGGCCAGTACTGCTGCACAATGGAGTAATCCAGGAGGTAAACATTGTTTCAGAATTAGAAATATTTAATGCATTCTAACTATAGTATTTATTTATTTAATTATTATACAGAGGCAGGTTTATACAAGTGAAGTAGAAAAAATTAGTAACAAAGTGATCTCTGCGGAAATGAGTACTCAATAGGTTCCTTATTAACGCCTCAAAAATCGCACTTTGTCGCATTGGTGGAACTTGGACAAAAATGGCCGCCATCTTGATATTTTTTGAATTTATTAAATATTTCGTAAAGTATACATTATATCAAAAAATCTCAAGAGACTTTTTTTATGGAGAATCAAAAGTTACCTGTAATAAAAAAAGTTTAAGTCTATTGATCAAAAAACAAAAAAGTTATTGAAATTTATATGATTTGGGTATTTATCACATCTGTGTCGAGACTTAGATGTATTTCAAGAACTTAATGCAGATATAGCAGTTTTAATTAAATCAGGACTTAAAATTATTTTAAATCTGTAGGTACCGGTGTCCATGATATTAACCAGTTACGTCACACACTATACAGGGTGGTGCCTAGCGCAACGCAGCATAGGGATTTCAATGGTAAATCCTTTATAGTCGCAATTACTAGCTCCCCTAATTATTTTAGAGCAAAAGTCTAAATACGGTTTTTTTAGAGCAATAATACTGCATCTGTTCATACTTTTAGTTATAATTTTCCATTTTTCAAAACCGTAGAAATCGACAAAATAAAAAATTACATTTTTATACATCAGTGATGCTATGGAATCTTTTAACAAACTACAAGCGCATCGCATCTTAGTTATCGTTGTTTGATGTCGAACAATTTTCATGTTTAATTCTGTTTCAACTAACTGACGCAATAAAAGGCATCTTAGGGTAATGTTTTTTTAGAGAATGTATGCTGCATCTGCATCAGATACTATTTGTTTATCATTTTCCGGAATCAGAGTACCTACATAATCGAAGAAAAAAAACTGATTTGAAGAAGATTTGTTCCTAAACTTATATTCGGATTTTCCGCTACTGCAGCCAAAACGTTGAATGTATTGTCGTTTTCCTGATGGTTTTGACGGACATTTTGAACGTTATTGCACTTGCAGTTCTTTAACTAATTTATAAACAAGTATAAATTTAATATACGTCAAAGGCAAATAATGAAACGTGATCGCTCTTTTTTTAGGTAATTCCAAGGCATATTTGATTTATTGTAAAATGAACCTTTTTATTTTGTTGATTTCTACGGTTTTGAAAAATGAAAATTATAACTAAAAGTATGAACAGATGCAGTATTTTTTTCTCTAAAAAAACTGTATTTAGACTTTTGCTCTAAAATAATTAGGAGAGCTAGTAATTGACTATAAAGAAATTACCATTGAAATCCCTATGCTGTGTCGCGCTAGGCACCACCCGGTATATGCGAATGACTTCCAGGCAAAGCTTAAATTCAGAATTGTATTCAGCCTCACTACCACCCACCCGAAGAAGCTGCCAAGCAGCACATTAATATCATGAATCTTTTTTTTATTGATGTATTGCTCCATGTGAATTATTGGGATATATTTAATGTAGCAGGTAAGTAGAGGGAAGCAGATAATTGAATGTTTTTATTTTCTTTAGGTTATCGATTTCGAAGCTCACTTCATCACAGGGGTGGATGGGGAACCATAAATCGGGCCGTGAAATATACATGACTATCGGCCCACTTAGCGGGTGGGGAAGGGGTACTCAATGCACCCTAATTGCAAACATTTATGCTTTTTCTAACACTGATTGTTGATAATTATTTCCCAACAACATAAATGCTTCTAGATTATTGTTACGCAATCTGTTCCTTAATCGGAATTATACATTTCAGAATTGCGAAAGAATAAGAATCAATTAATTAATGTATAAATCTTAAAATGGATTAATTTATAACAGTAATTATAAGCGCGAACTATTCGTTACTTCGGCGTTAAAATTGGAACTGATTGAAACGCAATTTGATTTGCTTATGTAGCAAACGCCGTTTTTTCTGGAGGCTCCCGAGTATTCTAGAATCTTCTCTAACAAACACATCGTATTTCCCGGAAAGATTGCGTCACATTTGTCTTCGCTCTTTATCGCCGATTCTTCTTCTTTCATGGTGCCTCGGAATTTCTGGAATATTCGCTATAATTTTTCTTGATAATTATAAATTCTACTGGTAATCGCACTATATAACAGCATCTAAAACAGTTTTGGCAACTACCACAAACGGCATTTTTAGAGAAATCATGTACATTTTGTTTTTTATCTGCATCGTTCGGAAGCAATGCGGTGGGCGGTTGACAATTTTTATACATTTTTTTTTTCAAGAAATTTCAATTGTGGTTGCCCCCGACAGGATCTTAAAATTTCTTCTCGTAATCTAACAGGTCTGGCATTTTTCCCCAAAGTTTTTCCAGTAGATTATTAGGCAATACTTTTAATATCAGGAAAATTATGTGAATTTAAAAAGGAAAGATTCATACAGAAATCTGTATACTTCGTGAAAATCTACCTTTAATCAATTCAGTGGCTTGATTTTATTTAAGAGTCTTAACATAGAAATTCTCAATTTTTTTCCAATTTACTAATTTAAATATCTATATTAGTTATTTCATTTTTAGCGCATTTTTGCAAATTTTTGTCAAAGGTAGCTTTTAATCTCACTTGAGCCGGCTGGCAGCAAATGCGGGTCTGTAGAAAAACGCTTGGTGGAAGACAAGGAGTGCTACCGGCGTCGTGTAATTAACAAGTGACTACATGATGCGGTTGGCGACATCTGGGAGCCATCCCGAAGTGTGTTGTACTAATGTGGCGATTTTTCCTTCTTCTTCTACAGTTTTGGTCTGATTGTGCGCACCTAAAAGTTTCTTAAGTGCTTGAATCGCGGTCTCTCTTTCTCGTGTCGCCAATAGAAGCTGGAGCTATGAGAAGTGCCTCTATAATTGAGCACTATTTTGTGGAGGGTTTTTAGCAAAATCCACCAAAATACGAATTGCGGGTGAACGGGGCGTCGGGGGTGGGCACCGACAAAGGGAATGCCTTCAACAAGTTCTTATTGATGGACACGAAGATAATATTTTATATGCACCGTCACCTTCGAATAATAATTAAATTAATTTCTTGCAAGTGGCGGCGTAGCCTGGCTCTATCTCTGTTTTGTGTTTTCATTTGAGTGATGCTGCCAGCCAGGGCCGTACCCACAATATTTTTTCGAGGGGGGTTGTTATTAGAAAAATAAGTACAGAAATAGAAAATGATGCACGCTCCGATTTTCGCTATCATTTCCGAAGTCAAACCACGAATTTTCTGTAGTCGGCTGCTGGCTGCGACTAATAATTTTCTTTTCCTTTATTATTTCGGAGGGGGTTTCAACCCCTCTAACCCCCCCCTTGGGTACGGCCCTGCTGCCAGCCGCAAAGCGCTCATGGATCCTACCTGTTATGTTGGGTTCTTGTTGAGAGAATTGATTAAATGATAAAGTGAACAAAAGCGTTTATTCGGGGCTCCATACAATTTTTAGCCATCTTATCTTCTTGCCCTAGTTCTAACTTAACCTACTGGGGGCGCCTCTTTCCTACAAAGTATTGTATATACAGAGTGATACAACTCTTACAGAACACTACCGGCCCACCGGGAAAGATCCCGATATCCCGCTGGCCCCATCCACCCCTGCTTCATCATCAGACCTTGCTAAAATATATACACTACTCTAGTGAGCCCATAACCTAAAGAAAATAATAACATTCAATTATTTGCGTCCCTCTATTTTACCTGCTACATTAAATCATGAATCTTCTTTGGGCACCGGTACAGATTAAAAATAATTTTAAGTCCTGATTCAATTAAAACTGCTATATCTGCATTGAGTTTTTGAAATACATCTAAGTCTCGACACAGATGTGAATAATTACCCAATTATTGAGTATTTTACTTTAAAATCCTTATTTTCAAAATTGGGCATACAAAACAGTTTTAACTAATTCAGATATTTACCAAATTTTAAAAAAATCCATATTGCCAAATCATATAAATTTCAATAACTTTTTTGTTTTTTAATCAATAGACTAAAGGTGGGTTCATAGCTCTCCGTTCATACGTTTCTGTTTGTCCGTTAGCCAATCAGAACACAGTAAATTTTTAAACCGTACGTCGTCCATTTACAACGGAAAAGTTGGTTGAAGTTGAACATTTACTTTTGCGTTGGTTCGTTTTTTAACGAGAGTAAGATTATGTTTGTATATTGTTGACGTTTAAGAGCAAATTTAACAGTGTTCGCCTATTACGTTCTTTGAGGTGATAATCTGATAGTAGTTTCTACGTACTGAAGATCACGGTGGGTACAGTACAAAATAAAATTTAGGTTATGGTTATACCTTGTAAACGTACGATATGGACGGATTGCTATGAATATTAACAAATTGCACTATCCGTTTGACGGATCAACGCAACGGATGAACGGAGAGCTATGAACCCACCTTTAAACTTTTTTTTATTACAGGCAACTTTTGATTCTCCATAAAAAAAGTCTCTTGAGTTTTTTTGATATAATGGCCCGTATCAATAAAAATAAGCAAATGCTTATACTTGCAAAATTCAAAGTAAATACTCGTAACTGCCCCTTCATGCAGGTCTGTTTAGCAGCACTGCACTGCGTCCTGTCCTGCTGCTCAGCAGCGCTGCTAAGTCGCCCAGTGGGAAGGAGCACTTACGAGTATTTACTTTGAATTTTGCAAGTATAAGCATTTGCTTACTTTTATTCATACGGGCCCTTGTATACTTTATTAATAAATTCGCAAAAAATCAAGATGGCGGCCATTTTTTCCAAGTTCCATCAATGCCACAAAGAGCGATTTTTGAGGGGTTAATAAGGACCCTATTGGATACTCATTTCCGCAGAGATCACTTTGTTACTAATTTTTTCTACCTTAACCACCTATTTTGACTAGCCTAGATGGAATAGCTCATTTTTTACAGGTCATAAATATTTTACGTTTTTGACACTATAAAATGAGTCCAACTGAGGCCTAAAAGTGTGGTTTCCCACCCATTTAATTTAAATGTTCTCACAAAAAATAATTAGGTCAACTTACCCTACGCTTCATCTGTATTATGCCAATAGGCGCTTTTTACCAGAATGGCTATTTTGTCCCAAACTATTGTCGGTACGTCTTTGAATTTAACCTTGACCTTAACATGTAAAATGTACATCCCTAGTAGCTTCCGAGTGCATAAAATTTGTGCATAATTTTTCTGAGCTTAACCTTAATTATAGTGACAGCAATTCACTGTATAGTTGTACACTGTATAGTGACAAAAGTAATGATCGCCGAATAGATAAATCCTTCAGCATATGCAACTTTTAATGCGAACCAATAAATTAAGTGATAGGCAGGTTGGTTGCTTAGGAAATTCAGAAAGTTGTGATAGGTATTGGTTTGGGTAGTGTTGCACCAAAAACACTTTTAATCCCGAAGTTTCAATTTCTCATAAAGCACCAAATTTATTTATTTATTTATTAAAATGCGTATAAACCCGCCAATAATGTTGCCTCTTAATGGTGGATGGGTGGAGCTAACCGCTAGTAAATATGGTATTTTCCCATAAAACTGCTATAACAAATCGTGGAGTAGGCCTATGGGGGAACTACATTTTAAAAAAAGGCGCCAAGTACACCACCTCACAGGTGGTGTGGGAATATGTGCATATCACATAAAATGTAACTCTTTCAACTTTTTGAATGGCGATATAAGTATAAGGACCAGTTTTCTAAATAATTTGATGGTCTACAGTTTTTGTCTGAGTTATATGTTTGATTAAAATTACCGTTTTCGAGAAAAAAAACCTGAAAATGTTGACTTTTGACCTTGATTAACTTTTAGCACACTTGGGATCTTTGGGGACTTTTGGCACTTTATTTCTACTAGCGTATCCAAGGTTTCTCCAAAATTCAGCTGTCGAAATTTTTGTTATTTGATATGTCTATTTTGACCAGACTACCACATATATTCCTGTGGTCAAATCGATTCATTTGGAAAAACCTTTGTTTCCTGGACTATAAGTGGAATTTTTAAAACTGATGAGAGCTGTTGTAAACTTTGTGCTGAAAACTACGATTAATGCAACTGTTGACTTTAAGGCTTTTGGGAAGAAGCACCCGTTCAAAGATCACCAAATAAACCGTCCACAGTATCCAAAAGTAATTCAACAAGTGCCGTAAATGTCAGTAAGCCTGTAGCGAAACAAACGAAGGGCAAAACGAAGAAGGAGGAGCAACACGTAATGAAATTGTTCAGTAATGGCCCGGCTACTGACGAATTTACAGATTGGTGTACAAATGCTCTTAAAAAACTGAATAGTACTGTTGATAGTGAGTCGCCCTCTATAATTTTGTCAAGAAAACTAAGCGCTGTTTCGTTTCAGTTCCTACATTTATAAGTTTTTTACGTGATATAGAATCCGCTTTAGAAGTTCGAGATTATTGTAAGGAGTATTTAGGAGAAGGACCTACCACGCAACAATTCGCATCACAGTTCCTCGAAAAACGGCGCATGATCAAACCGAAAGCCACCACGCAAAAAGACGACATGAGCTCTCCTGCTCCTGCGATTACGCCTTCCTCTCAACACAACCCCGATTTCCAGGAAGTGAAGGTGAATTACGATCTACTCCAATACATGTGCAGTAATTTACATTTTAGGGTAAGGGTAAGAAAGTCAAGAAGTCCAAGATGATGAAGGTGGACGCTCGTATATTGGGCTTCTCTGTGACCGCCGCTCCTGATCGTATAAATGTCGGCGACCGCGATTATGTCGAAAATTAAAATACGAAAAAACAAATTCATAGTCCTCTCAGTCATGTAAATTCTGTGCAAATACCTTGAACTAATTTTAAGATCTTTATTTATAAAACATTACTTTTGTTTTATCACTTTACTGTTTAAATACATATTAGTTTTACATAAAAATTGAAAATACGAATTTCATGTTTTATTTAGGTAACAATTAATTTATGACAGGCTGTAACAAAAATGTAATTAACTTGTTGAAAGGAGAACAATATTTATTTACCTTCTTTCAATTAGTGGTAGTGTCTCGCAGTTAGGATAGTCCCTTACTCTAAACAGTACGTTATCGCCCATTGCAGGATTGAATCCGGTTTCGTAAGCGTTCCCGGGGGACTACAAGATTGTAAACGTTAATTATTAAATTTAAAAATTATGCGCTCACATTTAAGACTAGTTCACTGTAGGTCAGAAAATCTTGGCCATCTGCAAGCAATTCAGGAGCGTCAAAACGTGGAATATTCAAATACATCATCAATTGGTTTTTCTTATCGGCGTATCTATAAATAAAAATTAGTAAAAATCGCAGCTTCGCTAAGCGTGGTGGAATAATGCCAATTACACCTCAATCTCAGTGGTGGGTACCTCAAACAAATCGTTAGATGAAACAAACTGATCGAGTATACCTATGTATACATTGAGCGGTCCAGCGACTACTGGGAATACTACAAAAGAAGCTACCAATAATTGCTTTTGTTTTTTTAAATGATTGATCGAGACATACATCGTTACAAATAAATAAAACAAATTAAAAAATGTCCGTGTACTTATGCAGGGTGGACATTTTGTCTAGAACAGTGAACACAACTACAATATTTGCATCTACCTACTAGGTTTAAATTTTTCATTACATATTAGAGTACACTAGCAGCATAAAAAAAACTATACAGGGAGATCATGTAGCTCATTCGTTAGAAGCTTATAAACTTAGTTGAAATAGAAGTTTGGCTCACAGCCATCTTGGTTTTTTAAAATAGGAACACCATTTTCTATTTTTTTCTAAGATCAAGCAGACAAACAACATTAAAGAAGATCATGAGATTTTGATTGGTAGAAATTTCGTATCACTGTTCTAGCTTTTTACTCCCAACTTCCATATACAGAGAAAGACTAGATGAATATGACTAAGGTCATTTCTTCTGAATTGGGACCTAGGAAAACTTTGCAAAAATATAGTCACCCTAAAGGTGTAAGGATACAGCTAGAGGTCGCAGTACAGAACCTAGTAGGACATAACATCTGACAAGAGGCAAGATATCTAATTATGGGGTAGAATGTGGTTGACATACTTATTCCTTAAGCAACCGTACTCTTCTTCTAAATGATAAACCCAGTCTTTCACTTTAGCATCCTGCTCATCAATTCTTGAGAAGTCAATTCGTTCGATATCCTCAACAACAACCTCGATATCACCTTGCTCTGACCAATCATAAATCAATAACTCCGAATGTGTGCTGAAAACAAAACTACTTCAAACAAAAGCAATTTGTAACACTCGCACCTCAATTTCTTCAGGTATTCCAATTTGTACAAGTCTTCCATCGACTTCAAGTACTTTGGGTTGATTACCTCGGAGTCCTTTTCACATGTGTAATTGCGTTTTTGTACGTTAGCCATTACTTTTTCGACTGGTATGTCTAGATAGATAATCAAATGCGGCCTCAACAACTCGTCGATTGAACAACTTCTCGCATCGTAATAAATGGAACGTGCTACAAATAACTTGCTTATCAAATAAATATGCTCCCAACATTATTATATAGTAAGCTACAGTGTGTTCCAATTAAAGTCAACACTTGATACAAATATATACAAGGTACTGATTAGTAATTTGTTCGTAGCGTGTAGCTTCTATAACAAATTTAGCAATAACACTGGATTTATTTGTGAACACACTGTATAATACACAGTGTACATTATTAGAATACCTTCGGGCGAAATATACTTCAGCTTAAACATTGATTCCATAAATACAAAATCGGAATAAACACAGCGATCTAAAATCACCCCTTGCCCGGTACTAAACACATGTGCCAACGCATCGATGTACTGCGAAAATTTCGCGACATATTGACGCATTTGAAAACAGGCAGTCATTTTATGTCGGGGATTCAGGAGAAAATCTGGGATGTCGTAGAAGCGTAGCGACTCCGGTATTTGGTCGTTCAACTTCTTCAAATTGAAACCGTAAATATTCGTCGTTAGCATGTCTAGGTTTGCCTCGGGCAGATACAACATATCCAATTCGGCAGCCAGTTCTTTTGCGAGCTTAGTTTTACCGGCGGCGATGGGGCCTTCGACTACGATAATCTGCAATGAAATCTGTCAAACCTGTCTTTTTAAGGTGCGAAAACTGAACCTTCGAATTCTCGTCAAATCTTGAAGTTGTTTTATCGTAAAGGGAGTTAAATATATTATATCCTTTAGTCTTGTAGGGCCAGGGCTTCGGTTTGTTGGTGGGTGGCGCGATTGCTCTAGCATTTTTTCCTGAAATTGTACGAATGGGGACTATCAGTTCGCTTCGGTTGGCCAATAGTTTGTTCGTGCTGTTGATGGATAAGACTCTTAGGAGTCCAACGCGAAAAACTCCTGCCATAGTCAACTCAGTTTGTGTATATTTTGATTAATAAATACTAAATTCTACTTTCAAAGGTTTTCATTGAATTACATAACCAAGTTTTGTTTAATGCGGTGTTGGCAAATCGAATATCAGGTACCTGTTCTAGTTCTATTTTGTGATAACGACAACACTGCATGAGGAGACACGAAGAAGACCAAAAGATGTGAAGCAGAATGGGTTAAAGAAGGTGTGAAAACGCGTAAAAGAGCTCTGAAGAAGGAGTGAATGGAGAGAAAAAGAAGAAATAAGAAAGATTTGAGAAAGACGTCTGTAGAAAGCTTTAAAGACGATGTGGCGGTGGATGCGAAAGAGGTGCCACATGATCGGGATTATCCCGGAACTAACTGCAGTGGCCCGGATCCCGGTTTTTCTTAAATCAAAATTTAGAAATTACAAACACAACCATAGCTTTTGGTGCTAGTGGCAATCAGAGCTGGGCAGTATTCATTTTGTAAATACTTTTTAGTATTCAAATCCTTTAAAGTATTCAAATACTTTGTAATTAAATACTTGTATGGGAACAGTATTTGTATTTGTAACTCCAATACTTTCACAAATATTTAGTATTCGAATACTTCGCAAAGTATTTGGATACTTCGTAAAGTATTCGAATACTTCGCAAGGTATTTGGATACTTCGTAAAGTATTCGAATACTTCGCAAGGTATTTGAATACTTTGAGAAGTATTCGAATACTTCGCATAGTATTTGAATACTTAAACTTCCTTTTTTACCAAAAATCGACTGCACCAAAATTTCTCGGGAAAACACTTTTTATTATTAATTTTGGTGCGTAGAATCCAAAACAATTCGTACTTTTTCGATCAGACTTCTCAATCAAAAGTTATAGACTAGAAACCAATTTCGAAGAAAAATTCAAAGGGCTGTAACTTTTGAACTAGTAGCCCAATCTTGGAAATGTTTGAAATTATGGATTCTACAGGCAACGTTCTATAAGAAAATTTTTTTCCGGGTCGATCTGAGACAATTTTTTTTTTCGGGGCTCAAAAAAAGGCAGTGTATAACCTTCCTTTTTTACCAAAAATCGACTACACCAAAATTTCTCGGGAAAACACTTTATCTTATTAATTTTGGTGCGTAGAATCCAAAACAATTCGTACTTTTTCGATCAGACTTCTCAATCAAAAGTTATAGACTTAGAAACCAATTTCGAAAGAAAATTCAAAGGGCTGTAACTTTTGAACTAGTAGCCCAATCTTGGAACTGTTTGAAATTATGGATTCTACAGGCCACATTCTATAAGAAAATTTTTTTTCCGGGTCGACCTGAGACAATTTTTTTTTCGGGGCTCAAAAAAAGGCAGTGTATAACCTTCCTTTTTTACCAAAAATCGACTGCACCAAAATTTATCGGGAAAACACTTTTTCTTATTAATTTTGGTGCGTAGAATCCAAAACAATTCGTACTTTTTCGATCAGACTTCTCAATCAAAAGTTATAGACTAGAAAACCAATTTCGAAAGAAAATTCAAAGGGCTGTAACTTTTGAACTAGTAGCCCAATCTTGGAACTGTTTGAAATTATGGATTCTACAGGCCTCATTCTATAAGAAAATTTTTTTCCGGGTCGATCTGAGACAATTTTTTTTTCGGGGCTCAAAAAAAGGCAGTGTATAACCTTCCTTTTTTACCAAAAATGGACTACACCAAAATTTCTCGGGAAAACACTTTTTCTTATTAATTTTGGTGCGTAGAATCCAAAACAATTCGTACTTTGTCGATCAGACTTCTCAATCAAAAGTTATAGACTAGAAACCAATTTCGAAAAAAAATTCAAAGGGCTGTAACTTTTGAACTAGTGGCCCAATCTTGGAACTGTTTGAAATTATGGATTCTACAGGCCACATTCTATAAGAAAATTTTTTTCCGGGTCGATCTGAGACAATTTTTTTTTCGGGCCTCAAAAAAAGGCAGTGTAAAACCTTCCTTTTTTACCAAAAATCGACTGCACCAAAATTTCTCGGGAAAACACTTTTTCTTATTAATTTTGGTGCGTAGAATCCAAAACAATTCGTAGTTTTTCGATCAGACTTCTCAATCAAAAGTTATAGACTAGAAACCAATGGCAATGTACTTACGAACCAAAAGAAATAACCACAACCCTCGACCGCGCGATTGTGACATTTACGTTGAGGCGAAATGCGAGCAAAGATTACATGCGTCCATAGCGGCCTCCAATATTCGAGTCGGAGGGACGAACCGCGAGCTAGGTGGAAGGTCACGGGAAACCACCACCAAATATTTTCCCCAGGAAGCCAGGCATCCGCACCTTTACCATGGAAATGGCGTATTTAAAAAAAAAGAGGACGCCAAGTGGGTAGAACCAACGGTCAGAATCCCAAACTGCTGTGCGCGCGGCAGGCAGCCCTATAGATCCTGGACAGGGCAAAAAAAAGCCTAAGGATAAGCTTCTGCGAGTATGGAATGCGAGGAGTGTAGGCAGATTAGAAAACTTAAAAAGGGTATATGGTTAGGTTAGATTTCGTATTGTAGTCAGTGATGCAGGGGTGGGGGACACGTGGGAACGGCATTTCCACTCTGTTTTTCCAAGAATATATACAATGGCTGGTCTCCGAAAGTTTTTTTAAAAAATTTATTTATTTATTTATTAGCCCTCTCTTGTTCTGGGTCCTCAACAGGCTTGCACCTAATTACAGAGTGACCCGCATAATGCTTTTTAGAGGGGCCTCTGCCACACCCCCACCGATCCACACAGGAAGGCATTGACAACTGCCTTTTCAGCTCTTTGTCGCTTGAGTATTTTTTCGTTGGCGACCTTTTGATAAACCTGTATATTAGACGAGCAATTTTTATTGCAATTCTTGCATGCATTGCTGTAAGAAATTGCACGAAAAATTGTTCCGTGGTATTGTCAAAATTGCACGTGCAAGTTCTCGCTGCAATTATTTCTGCAAGACATTCTGCAGTTTTCTTGTTTAGAACTTGTGCTATTTTTCTGGCAATTTTTCTTCCAATTTAGTAATTATTATAGTAACATTTAACATAAATTAATTTAAGTAGGTACAAGAAAGAAAACAAAAGATGGTGTCTAAAAAGTGTAAATAAATTCCATAGTGTAATTACCGCATCTTTTTACAATAATTGCTGCAATAATCGCAGCAATAGTCGCTGCAAAAAGATGTACATTTATTTTAAAACTCAAATTCCAGGGCCTTCTTTTTTCCAGTTTATTTTATCTAGATAGCTACAAAATATAAGTACCTATCTGTATGTGTATCTAGATACACTGAAACAAATTGAGGTGCTTTTTAGACTATTTGAAGGTTTTTGTAGACACTTGAAACATTTCTATGGTCACCTAGCTTGAAAAAGAACTTTGAAGGCTATCAGAGGTACTATGAAAAGGAATGTTGTAGGTCCCTTGTGTACTCAGACCAATGAAAGTTCCCCAGAGAATTTTACAACCTTTCAACAGGTAGGTACATAGCGCCTCTCCAGAGAATAATAATATCATCCTACAGTAGCATTATAGACCCCTGCCAAAGGTAGTTAGTTCTAGATAGGACACACAAAGCTCCGGAATGAGAAATTTTGGAAATGATCAATAGTGCTCTATAAAGTACAAAGAAACGATCTGCAATTGAGCTAAAAAAAGCTGTGGATAGTATCTGAAAAACGCTAGAATGTTTTGGAAGGTTGTGACAACGATTTTGAAAGTACTTATGAGACTAACATACGTAGATACTTAAACCTATCCGAATTTTTCAAAGCGGTTTAGCCCCGATTTTTAAGTGTTTTCCTGCGCCTTTAGGACTTTTCCATATTAAGACCTTTTTGACCGTTTTTAGTGCGCTCAGCTCTCGAATTAAGCCAATAAAATTCGGGAAAGGCTCTCAAAGGAATCACTAAACTACACTCCACGCATTCCAAAGCCTTATAAGACTCTCCGCAGCAGAACCTTTTCAGACCACCTTCAGAATCTAGCTTCGTTTCAGAGCTTTCTAGATCCTCTCTTCATTGAAACGTAGCATAGTCTATTGGGCGTTTTACAAAACCTCCCTAAAGCATTAAAGCACACCGTTTATAGGCGCTTGAAGTTTTCTAAAGGGTCTTAAGAGAACGGCAAAAGCCCTTTCAGTCAGCTCTCCACAGTGCATTTCCCTTTTTGAAACGAGCATTTCATAAATCTAAGGAAGGTGCACTGTATCGGTAGCTTTTCATTTGGGATTTATTTTCTCAAAATGTTTATAGAGATAGGTAAAGTGACATTTTTTGAGAGATTAAAGCGTTAGATAATAGAAAGTAAATATTTTATTGAATAAGTAAATAATTACTTATTCAATAGATAATATCAAGAAAAGCGCTATGTCGAGTGTATTATACGTAACTTCATTTAATTTTATATCATTTTCATCGTTTTCTTTACACGTGTTTATTCATTCAACATTCCTGGCCCAAATCTCCTTCCCAATTTGCCGAGGGCCCACATGTCATAGTATATTCCTTCTTATCTCTGCAAGTTAGTGTCACCTGATCTTGAAATAAGTAGGAATTCCCTTGGATAGTAGTAGTTTCTTTGACCTTTGGCTTGAAACATGACTTCTCTACAATCATTTTAGCTACCTCTCATTGTTATGTAAATGCGTAACATACTTATGCACTTTCCTGGCACACGTGACCACTTTCCGTTGGCGAGGCATCGTGTAGTCGCTTTACCAAACAATCTGTAGCCATCTACGCACTCGTAAGGGAGCACCGTTCCAAATGTAAAAGAGCTATTAGAACCTTTGCGATGCATGTTTGGAGGCTGCGGTGCATTTGGACAACTTATGTCTGAAATTCTTTAACGTCAGTAACCTAACAGCGTCAAAGAGTAACGCACATTCGCAGATCATGCTGATCTCAGTCCAATAACCGTCAAGAATGCATTCTGAAGTGCTAACACCAAGCGATCTGTACCCTTGTTTGCACTTGTAGTGTACGAAAACCGTGTCACCGTGGGTGTATGCGTTCAAACTTTCTATGACGGTGTAACCATTTTTTGGGGCCTTAGGTAGTTGCTCCAAAGAGCATGGCAACCACGCATTTGTCTTCTGCACACATTGAGGGATTACGTTATCCCAACTTCCACTACTAAGACATTTTAATACGCTGACTCCGTTAACTTCCCAACCATCCTGACAGCTAATTTCAATTTCAGTACCAACCTCCATTTCTGTTCGTCCTTCTAAATATTCATCTGAATACTCACTTGTTATATTGACTAGACTGTGTTCCGGGTACACAAATTTGCATTGGGTGCCTAAATGTTAACTTAAACCGCGCGGATGATTGCTCGCATCTTACCAACACAAGATGGTTGCTCAAAAGACCATGAACCATTCGCTAGACACGTACGTTCCGGATTTCCAATTAGCTTGTATTCTTTTTCACAGGTAAATTGCACAGTATCGTTATAGAAATAATCTCGACCAATCACCTCGCCGTGATGCAAGTAACCAGGATAGCCGCAGTAAATCTCTAAAAGAAAGATCTTTGGACGATCTTGATCATTTAAGTACTGGTGGATTACTCTCGCATTTTGGCACCGTCGATCCCATCCATTTGGACGCTTTCGAACATTTGCGACCTTTGTTGTACTCTGAAGTTGACAGTTTAAATCCGCTATTACACTCGTAATACGCCCGATTATTCAAAACATGCACATGCCCATCATCCAATCTTTCCTGTGCCTCACAACTCTTACAAAATGTAGATGGTAATACCTTCAATTGCAAAATGAAAGGCTACATGTCTTATAATAAATTCACCAACTTCAATTTCCCCGTGAATATACTCTTGTATAGTTGACCAAGGGTATATGTCACCTAATTCACTTTCTTCACAGTCGTTCATGTAATTTAGTATTTCCTCCTCAGTGAGAACCCTACTCCACATGTCTAGGTAAGCTATTTCGCCTAAAAAGGATTCCGATTGGCTAAATTTTCCACCAAGTACATCTTGCTCTTGACCAATAATCATTTTTCCACCTCCTGGCGAAGATAATAAAATTATTATATTTAGTAGACGAGCAAAATGACGCACCTTGAATGTAGGTGTTATTGGCTAGCCCGTGTCCGCTCTGTACGAGACTTCCGTCGACATACATCTTATAGGAACCCTCTCTGCTAGCCCATGTCAGACAGAAAAAGTGCCAAAGACCATCGTTCAAATAAACATCTGTGATTCTGTGATCACCATTAATGTACACCACCATCCTAAAAATCACGTTAAAAAGAGAGAGGAGCCTGAAAAATTACCCTGTGTAATCCGTTAGTGTGAACGTGTTGTCGAATTCGTAAGTAGCATACGATAATAATGTGCCGTAATTAAAGTTGTCTCTGGTGACCATCCAAAGGCAAGTGGAGATCTGAACGGTTGATTAAATTGGTGAGTTTAGAAAGTAGACACTCACCTCTGTGAGATTTTGTTCGAATCCATTCAGTTTAACAAAATCAGTTGTGCCTGATCTTGGAAATCTTAGAATATAGTCGCTATTCCGTTTTTGCTGGCAGTTGCTGCCATAGTATGGTTTTGGGCAGTTGCAAAAGGGACCCTCCTCGCTATTGGTGCACTTTCCGTTATTTAAACAGTGGTTGCTTGCGCAGTAGTTTATGAGAGTTGAGCAAGTTGGGCCTTCGTAATTCTTTGGGCATTCGCATCTGGAAAGTGCGCATTAAGACACCAACGAGAAGCTTCCAGCTCACCGATAACTAGCCCGTGTAGCGTTTGCAACATTTAAGTTCATGCATACGGAGTGATTTGCGCACGGCTTATAATCGCACGGTAAAATATTGCACCGTTTCCCCATGTATCCGTCTCTACATAGACAACGATACCCTTGCGTATCCTCACGACAGGTTCCATGCTCGCAAATACCAGTAGAACAATAGCTCCACTTTGTTTCGCAGAATGATCCGGCGAATCCTGCAAACAATTTGAAATGCCGGAGGAAAATGAAGAACAGTCGAACCTTCCAAACAAACGCACATTTCGACATCGTCATCATTTTTGTCGCACTTTCCACCGTTGAGGCAGTTCTTCGAGCATCTGTCTTCAACTTCCTCGCATATTTCACCAGAATACCCTTCTTTGCACTGACAATTAAAAGCATCTTCGGACGTTGGTGTGCAAATTCCGTCATTCAAGCAAGGGTTCGACGCGCACTTTGAAACCTTGGTTTCACAGTGGGAACCTGAAATGTCACCTAAGATAAACCACAATTATGCGCTTTGTGTACCTATGTATTGGTTGTCACACGAACAGCTGTAATAAAAAGAATCCTCTTCAACACACTTGCCGGTGTTGCACACGCTCGAAGAGTTACAGATGTGCGTTTCCGCCAAAATGCACTCCTCCAACGACGTTGATTTATGCGATGGCGTCGTGTATCCATCTGGACAGGCGCGGCATGATAACTGCCCATAGTTAGCTTGATAATGCCCAATAGAGCAGGAACGGCAGTGAGGCCTAAGCGTCATGTGGGTAATGGTTGTGTTTGGATGATGCTTTGTAGGTTTCAAAATTCTTCTGCGACTATGCGTTCCGGGCGGGCAGTGCGCTGCAAGTTTCTCTTACACTAAACCCTTCAGGTAAATTTAGGCTCACCTATGCATGCACTAATTGACTTGGAATGCAGTCTTTTAGTCGAATGGTTCACCGGACAAATGGTACAACTACTTTGTCCAGGTTTATCACTGTAAAAACCTATGGGGCAACTGTGACAGGTTCCAGTGCTAACGTTGTGAAAAGTACCTTTTGGGCACTGTACTGAATGTTGAGTTAGAACAATTACTTTATATTTGTCGAAAACTTACCGCAACGCATTTTTCTACGTACATGTCCCGAAGGACACCTGAAATCACTGTGATCAATCGCGACATTAACCGTAGTGTTGTCCGGTAAGCGAATTTTGTCTAATTTTGGAAGCTCTCGAAATGTAGTCGCGTTAACAGTGTCCGAGATACTAGCCGTAATTTCAAAATTGATCTTCACGCGTTGTTTTTTGTGCCTCTTTCTCTTGGTGGGCTTGCCCAAGGTTTCTCGTTTGATAATGTTGGTCTTCTCTTCATAATCCGATTCTTCGAGGCTTTCGCAAACAACGCTTGTATTAATTTTGCAAGAAATGCCTGTTGTGCACGTCTCTTGAATATTAATGCCTAACGTAACGGATAAGTCATTTGCAATCTAGAATTTTGATGAAATCAAAAGTGCGGAAAGTCTAGCTTTATACTTACCTCAGTTAAAGCGCTGGAGTTGCTGCAGATATCCTCCTCGCTCTCTTTTAGGAATGTGACTGTACCGTTTTGAGTCGTTTCCACTGGTAATTGAGTTACTAAAAGCATTTTTGTTATGGTTCAGTCATAAGTGAAAATCAAAAGGAAAGCAGGGTTTATAAAATTTTAAAGAATTTTTTGAAAGAAAAAAATCAAAATCAAAGGTTTTTTAGGTCACTGATAGACTCCATAGAGAGATTCCACACAAAACTGTAGGTACACTTTCTTTCTAGGAACTTTCTAAAGCTTTTTCGGGTTCTCTAGCACCGGGAATATTTTAAAGACGTTTTCTTGTACTAAATAGTACAACGAAAACCAATCTGTTTACCATTTTGGCAAATGTTAAATGGAATAAGAATACTGGAAGGAAAATTTTCAACCCCCTTACTTTAGTACAAGGTTTTTTGTTCAGGATGAATGGGAATATTTGCATTCTAATAATAAAATTGTACGCAACTCACTTGTACAATCAGGAAATGCGCTATTTTCTTTGGAATACCAAATTGCGTCCGAGTTATCACAAAAAAATTGCGATCCGCTGCTGTCGACATCCAACACATCACCGGGGGACGCAATTGGAATAGCATAACCGTCTTGGCAGGTGACCACGCACTGGATGCTACTGTTTAGAGAGACACACTCGCTTCTTCCAAAAATTGGGTCAGGCAAAGGCGAGCATTGCGATTCTGATATTGTAAAAGAAGCACTCTGAGAAATTCAGCAAGTTTTACATACCTATAATCGTGATATTCAATGTGCAAGTGTTAACGTTTCCTGAACCGTCTGTCGCCGTGTACTTTACTGATGTCGTACCAACGTTGAAAAAGCCAAATTCGTGTGATTGGGCGATCTAGGTAGGAAAAATGAGATAACGTTGCAATCTGGTGGCGTGTCTTACCGTAACAAACCCTGAATTGTCGAAGATCATTGGCTCATCCCAAGTAATATTTGCACCATCAGTGTCTGAAGACAGAAATGGGATTGGGTCCACACAATCTTCGATCGATGGCGGTTGGATGTCTACAAATGGTAAAAATGGTATTTGCAACTGACGCGAGGAGTTTACCTTGAATTTCCACTGTAAAACTACATTGCGCGGTGTTTTGGGCAATATCTTGAGCAAAGTACGTTACCATCGTCCTTCCGATTTTGAATTTGAACGCGGAGATGTTTTTAATTGCAGGTTTTAACCAAACACTTACGTTCAGGGCAGAGTTATCTAGGGAATTGGATGAAAAATTTGAGGATATTTGCAAAATTACCTGTCACGTTGGGTGCATTCCAGGTAACTGTACCAAATTTTTTATCCAAACTCGTATGCCCGACAATATCGGGAGGGCATTCTAACGTAGGTGGGGTAACGTCTGTAATTGCGATTTATTTTACACATTCAAATTGAGTAGGTGCTTACCCTCACAGTAGCTCTGTTTCGACTTATTGCTCCAAATTCCATGCCTACCTGTGCAAATCCGTTCTGAAGGTCCGCTTATTTTGAATCCTTCCTGACAGGTGTAGGTACACTTTTTACCAAATGACTGTTTAGCAGTAGTGCACGACTTTGGTTCAATCGTTCCAAAAGGTATGTTGGAGAGCTTGTTGCACTTTATCAATTTACAAGATACTTTCAAGCCATCCCATTGAGCCAACGGTAGACACGTTCGTTGTGAGGAACCAACCACTGTCCGTCCATTTTCACACTTAAATTCGCATACAGTATCAACAGGAAGTGGCTCGTCGGTCCGATTGTATTTTATTCCCAAATCATTGTGCTCGCACGAGATAAAACCGTGACTGGGTGCCGAAAGGGCACTACATGTTTTTACTGCAATCACATGGAGATTAACAAAAAATTACAATTACCCAGCACCTTGGCATGAAGGTGGATCACCGCTCCAAGTACCACTAAGTTGGCACAATCGAATGCTGCTACCAATTAAAGTATAGCCGACCTCACAGCGCACACCACACGCGTTGTTTAATACGTTTCCACAATCCTTCTTCCGAACGAAGTATCCGTGCTCAGGTGGAGACAGCTTTGGACACTTGATTGCTAGTGAACCACGCCAGCTAATGCAATGCCTCTAAAGAATGTTAACTTACTTTCACAACCATTCCGATCAGTTGCCCTATATCCCGTTTTACACTGACAACTTTTAATACCAAGCGCTGGAGGGGTGGTAACGTGGTGAACGTCCGGACACGGCAGGCAACTGTTGGGTCCATCAGCAAAAGATCCCGAAGGGCATGCTACATCGAAACTCTAAAGAAAACTGTTTCAGAAGCGATACGCACCAAAGCACGAGTTTCTTAAACCCGACCCGTAATACCCAGGATTACACAAGCAGGTATAGTGCCCAGTAGATGTTCCGCACGTGCAGACCGCGTTATCATCGCAACAGTTACCGGTAGCGCACAGTTTGTTACAAGGTGCACTGCTGCCCAGAGATAAATAGTCTCCGTCCTTTATGTCTACAAGTGATCGATTTCAACCCCCAAAACAAATACTTGGAAAACCTACCAACGTGCAAAGCTCTACGAGCCAAGCTTTCGAACTCTTCAAAACTGTCCAACAGGTAGCTGTAGTATTCTCCTGGCGACGACGATAACATATACAGCTCTTTGTAGTTTCCATTCCGGATCCCAATGGTAAAAACGGTAACACCCTGTTTTTTTAATTCGATTGATAGAGGCACAGGATCCCCTCCGTTCGAGTAACCATCGGTTATCAAAAATAAAATCTTTTTGGTATCATTGCGGCTGTGTTGAAATATATCCTGTGCAAGTAAGTAGATGTAAATTGCGACTGTTTAGTTGTGCTAGTTACTTTTGCGGCTCCAAACGCTCCAACTGTGTAGGTACCTCCACCGATGTACCTGATGTTGCTCAGTTCTTTATTCAGCAATAAACATTTGTTGTTTCGCTTACCAGGTTTACTTATTCCATCAATATTTGTTATCTAAAATTTACTAATAAGTTTTGTTTGTGAATTTTTCTACAGCTGAAAGAAAGTTGGACTTACCACACTGTCTTTAGAACTAAAAGTAACCACAGAGATACGGGAATGATCAAAATCAACAACAACATCGCTAAGTAATTTCTTAACAAATTTCAGTTCACTTTTAAAATTATCCTCGCCAACACTTGAAGAAGCATCTATCAAAAATACTATATCCAATTTGGGCCAAACTTTAATTGAGTCTATATGTTTCTTGAATACCTCACCCAGCACTTCAACTTTTGACTTAATCACTGCGTTTTCTAAATTACCCTTGACCAATTTGGAAACCTTTTGGCCGCCATAATTTAAAAATACGCTGTAGCTATCAAACTTGTCCGTTTTCACTTTATTAAGTGTAGCGCTGTTGGTACTAATTAAAATTGCAATAACGAACGCAATTACCGTGTACATTTCAATTTGCTCGGCACAGAACGTAACCCTTAATTGCGCACTAATATTATTGCGTGAATCATTGTACAAGATCTTCTGCAAACGAGCGTTTTAAACAATTTTTAAAGTTCGACAACTACAGTTGTTAATAGACACATTTTTTTCAATTTGTGGCAGTAAAATTATTATGTCGACAACCTTTGGTCAAAGGTTATCTATTATTGCTTTACCCTATCTCGTTAGTAGAAATTTAAAAAAATCTAAATAAATAATATAAGTAAATGGAGGACAAATGAGAGCATTGGGCAAGCTTCTTTCTGTAAACATGTTTGCTGCTGTGGTTTTGCAGCTACACCTTAGGAATCATGGAATAGCTGCATTTCTTTTTTACCTGTGGCCTCGTCGGCCATCAAAATTGTAACCGTAGTTGTAATCTATATAAATGCAACAATTTGAAGTTAGAAATCTCTACTGAATTTTGAGGGGCCTGTAGTGTTCATTTGAGGGCCATATTTGCTCTGGCGGAAAGCAGGGTCAATGGAAGAGGCGGCCGCATTACTAAGCGTCATTTGAGGACAGCTGTAAACTGCCGACGAGGAAGGAAGAGAACACCTCGGTGGAAAAAGGTACTTAAGGAGGTTCGCAGGCCTGCCTGGGAAGGTTTCAAGATCGCTCATAGAAGATCTAACCGGGGATCATAAAAGGTCTTCTTGAAATTCAAAAACTTCCTGAGATCTTTTTGAAAGACCCGGGGTAAAAAGTGGTGACACTGAGGCTTCTATGCGGCAGATATACGTCTATCGCGGGCGAGGCTCTTACATGTCTCCTGGAAACATACTTTCCAGGCTCGGGGGACTACGTAACTTCGGTCCCACCAAAAGGAGTCGGTGTAAGAACAGTCGGAGCGTCTTTAGATATCGAGGGCGCGTTAACCAACACCACGTTCGATTCCATTAGTGAGGCTGCTGAAGGCTTTTGCATTGATCGGTCAATCGTAAGATGGATCTGCGCCATTCTCGGAAGCAAAGTCATCAGTCAATTCCAGGCTTAGTCGCAACAAGCAACCGGCCTTTTTAACAGCACCCCTTGGCAAACCTGGGTCTTCTAAGCTTCTAAAATTGAACAGAAGCTAGATCATACCTGGGTCCTTACGCAGCACTGGATGATCAACTATCTCCTGCACAACTTTGGGCTTGTAGAAGAGCCCTCGTGCTGATTCTGTGGCTACCGAGCATGTGGTCTGTCACTGTGATGCCTTGGTCAAAGACAGACATCAGCTCCTTGGTGACAGTTATCTGGAACCGGGGAGGGTGAAACAACTTAGTTAGGCTAAACAGGGTCCTATCTTTTATTAAGAGGAACGAGATCTGAACCTAGTTGCGGAAGAAAGGAGGGAGGGACAACGGACAATGGGTCTTTGGTGTGCCTAAGTGCTGGCTGGTCGGGCTCTTCTTCACTCTTTTAATTATGGGCACGCTTCATAAAAAGAAAATAAAATTACATTGTTTTCCTAAATCAACGTCAAAAAATTCATTGAAAATTTGTTGTAAAGTGTAAACATTGCAATATACTAAAAGAAAAAAAGGGAAACATAATATAACCTTGAAGGTAATTACAAATTACTATAGAATGTCGAATAATACACTGTTGACCAAACAATGAATCATCGGGTATTTCCTAAAATTGTTTTCCATTTTTAGCCAAACGATAAGAAAACTCCACAATAATTGACGAGTCAATAAAACGTGAAAATTCTTAATCTTCAAGATCTAGTTTTACTGATAAAATTTCAATGTGTGCAATTAAATATTCGTTACTATTATAAGTTCAAAGTAAATTTTTGGAAACGTCAATGTTAGGTTTAAAGGGGAAAACTTGTACTGTATAACCTCCTTTTATATCCTATGACTAGGACCACAAACCCCAAAAATTGAATTAAGAGATAGCAGGAACTTCCAAATTACTTTTTTTTGTACCAAAATTGCTTTTGAAGTTCCTCGGTTGTGCACAAATTTTTTTAAATTCCGATCCTTTTTAAAGTTCCTTAATATTCAGAAGCGTGAAACAGAACGCGGCTTCTTAGGTCGTTAATATAATATATGTCCCTGTAGGGAGTAGAATCCCGAACTCCCGAACCTACAGGGACATAGGTATATTATATTAACGACCTAAGAAGTCGCGTTCTGTTTCACGCTTCTGAATATTAAGGAGCTTTAGTTAAACGTTTCTGGGAAAGTAAAATAGGTAGGTTTTTGAAATTTTGTACTTACCTACGATTTAGGAGTTACTCTGAAGGCCGAATCGATGTAAAATATTTTCGAAATGGCCGCACTTCCGGAAACACCGGTAGTAGATAGTAACTTCGTTATTTTAAATAGCAACCCCTATTTTTATTGGATTTTTGGATTCTACGTGAAATTTCAGTTCTTTTTGACTCTAAGAAAAGAAATGGCGGATGCAGATGGTACATGGTTGCTTACTTGAAAACGGTTGTAATCATGGTAACCTATTTTTATCAGTGCATAGAGAATGAATAGGACTTTCTTTTAGTGTACTTAAAAAAAAGTTGCGTACTTCCGCACCTATGGAGATCCAAATTCCGTTAATTGAAGTACCCTTTTTTCTCGTACTCAATCAATAGAATCCGCTCACAACACAAGAATATCATTAGTATATCCATTTTTCCGCTAAACATTGCGTTTTCATTCATTGTTTAAAAAAATATCGATTTCTTGGATATACTTTCCTCGTAAACTTCCTGACAAGTTTCTGTTCTGGTGTGAGGAACCTGGGATGGAGATCCATCCAATCCACCAAACATGAAACATAATCAAGAAAAGAACAATTAAAAACTTTATTTCTCGAGTGATAAATAAAACAAAGGGAACGAATAACCACTTGCTTTAATAGCTATCTATATTTTTGCCAATTCTCAAAAAATAAGGAACGTTGGATACTTTATTCCCGCTACTACCCTTCTTTGCTGTTAAAATTTGTCTGGAAATATTCTCCCGATTCTTCTTCCACTTTCTTTGATTTACAAACTCATGGAACACATATTTTGTTGACGGTATGTGTCTACGTAGAAAAATATCAATCTTATTCCACAAGTTGTTCAAAGTCTGTTGAGTTAACCAGTAGTGAGGGATCAGCAAACATTCAGTCGGTTCGGTTGAAATTACTCTTCTGCCTTCCATGGCTTCGCCAAAGCCGAAGCATGATAGCGGATTCAGTATGCAAACCTAACAGCTCTATTGCTTGAAAGGTGTTGAGATCCGTAAAACTTACTTACTTGCATAAAGTGCATTTCAGCCTTTGGTGGAAGATTTTTCGTTTTTGTGGAGTTTGTTGCTTGTTGCTGGTGGACATCTCTAAAAATGCCAATATCTCAAACACGCATGACTCTAGTTAGTTTTAATTTTAATGGAGCACGCGATCTGATCGTTAATCCACCTTCATAGCATATTATCATAACATTTTGAAAAACAAAGATAATTAGAACACTTACTTACTGCTAATTACCTGTCTGGTTTGAGAAGCTTGTACCGAGATTTTATGTTCTCAACGTATAGTTCCTCTACAATTTTGCACCTTCCATTCAGCACGAAATACACGTAATTTGCTAATCCAAAACCGTCACCTAATATAATACTATTTTCATTATAACGTTTAATTTTGGAGAGCGAACAACATTCTGCAATCGTTTCTTGATTCCATTTGCGAAAATATTCAAAGCGATTCATGGCAGCTTCGACGTCACTTGTCATGTCTTCTTGTTGAGAGTTTGATCAATAATACAAAATTATTGCATTAGGATTAGGTCACAGTATCGGCACCTACTTCAATTCGATTGATTACTTGATATAGGTAAATAATGTAAAACTGAAGTTCGAATTGTAAAGTTGTCGTACAGTTGATTCCTTATACAAGGATTCACTATAGCTATTTGTGTATTAATTAAAATGATATATTGTCGATTGAAAGAGACAGTTGACGCGCGACGAAGGAGCGCGGCAATCTCTTGAAATCGACAATCAATTTGCGCTCGAATTACACACAAGATTTTTTCTACAATCGAGCAGTTCACATATTTCCAGAAATTTAAATTTTTCACTCAAATCATATTAATCTTATGCCCAAATGAAAGATGTCATTTACTCGTTGTCATTGGATACTCTGAGCAATGCATATTTGATTTATAGTTAATAATTGGGAGAGCGAGCGTTTTTTTCTATTTTGTCGCTTATAAGCGACAAAGTGACATTCCTCGAAAAAGATGACGTTTGCGTTGTCAAATACGAGCGCAAATGCCTACTTTGGATATCGATTGTAGAAAAACATACAATACATTTTTGCTATAAATTATTCGTAGAATAATGAACCCCTTTTATGTGGTAGTTACTCAATTATTCTTCATTAAAAAGGTGAAATAAGATACAAATCTCAGTCTGTATATCGCACTATCGATCTTCCTAAGGTAATTAAGAAACAAAAACCCTATCGAAAACAAGCACGCAGGAAGATATATAGACCCATTTATTCTTTCGACTTCTCACACAACCACTATTTATCTGAGAAATAATTCAGAACCGCAAATTTGTTATAACCTGAAAATTTCGATGATGCTCAATCTTTAACATTCACTTAAATCTCTAAAACTTCAAAAACTCTACCTATAACTTGAAATGAAACTTCGAAATAAATCATGAAGCTTTAGTACTACTTTTCGATCAAGAGTATCCTGATCTATTATACTCCAGGTCCTTTTATCTATAGAACATTACCTTTTTTATATTATAACGTAAATTTAGTCTTAAAATGAATTAATTTGCCGTGTAATGCATTGGTGCGATTTTTTCTACTCAAAACCAATAATGGAAAAAATCCAGCATTTTTCGTCCTCACCAACTTTTTGAAGGTGGTGATTTCCCATTTGGCCGTATAGTTAATCCGGATTGAGTTTGAGCATTGAATAAAAAATTTATTTATTTACTTGAAAATCTGGCATTTATAAAAATTTCGTAACAAACCCTCATTTTAGTCATTTTTTATTTGTGTGATTTATTTAGACTATTGTAAATTCACAAAACGCAGACAAGAATGGAATATTGTACTATGAAAGTTATGGTAGGTACTAATTTTGAGCCACAAGAAAAGTTTTTAGTCAATAAAGGCAATTTGCATTAAAGACGGAATCCAAATGCAACATTTTCCCATAGTTAAATAATAAATTGTTGTCAGCCTGATTTAGCACATACAACGTAGACGTATTGTCACTTATTGCAATTAACTTTCAATTTATGTATAAAATTGTATACGAGACCTTTCATTTTGCTAATAAAGCATCGGCCACCTTCAAATTTTCCAGAATGTCAGCGCTCATTAGACGAGATGTGACCACAATGACGTAAATCTAGTCCCAGCCTTTGAAAGCACCCCATCTATGGCGAATATGCAGTGGAGTAATTAAAATCGTTCTCATCTCCTTTCAGAAATGTAACAAGTGTAGAAATAAAACAAATCTCTTCTATAGCAATAAAAAGTCAGTTTTGCTCAAAGCAATTTAGTTAATGATGTATAAATACATCACAATTTACACTTAGATTTTCCCATCTACAAATCAAAGTACAATTTAGACAATTAAACAGTAGAATGTATTTAATTGTAAAAGGCAATTTCTGAAATCTACGTCGTAATCTTGATTGAGAAGTTCAAGATCATGTGTAGGTAACGTACGTGAAATTTTAATTATTTATACACACAATGTAATTAAATAAAAAAATTAATAACGAAAAAATCTGCACTTGGAAGATCTAGTGAATGACCTTACAGATCAATAAATGAACAATAGAATCTCCCGCACGTTCCCATAATTATGTTTAAACAATAAACCTGTTTATACACCAGAGATTTTGTTGTGGTGTCCGTACCAAGACGTGAATATTCTCCAGTAATTTTATTTAATTGGGAGCGGGGCACCCATATAATAGAGGCTCGCCGTTTGGTGCAGGCACTTCAAATTCATCATTCACGATATAAGCACAGAAATATCGCTCAGAAATCAAAATGCCTTGCCATCCGACCGACAACTCCGCGGACAAATGCAAAGGTACGTAGATATCCTTTTTTTTTCTTGGTTTTAAACATTTTTTGTAAATTTTAGACGGGTCTTGCTCTCCCAGTAGCTGCAGTGGTTGCAACTGTGCCGCAAATTGCAAGTGTAATTGCTGTGCATCTAAGGGTGAGAAGAAGTGAGGAATATGACGGGAATATATATATATATATTAATTATGTAGTAGTGCTGTCGGTATTTAAATAAACGACTTCTATAACGTTTTGAATTCAATTTGGTTTCATTGCAATCAGTGCGTTGCACTCTAGGTCAAATGGGTCTAGTATGCGAGAGGAATGTAGCCTCGGGGCTTTATTTAAGTAAGTGTACTGAGAACGAATCAAATATCATGTCCAAAACGAGAGATAAGGATGAAGCTGGCCCTTGCTTTAATCCACCGACAAAATGAAATTTAAAATCCCTAAAAATGCCTGTATATTAACTATTATAAGCATAAGGTTATAAGGTGAACTTATACTTTTATTTGTATGTTTTAGTTTGATTTTAAAGATGGATTCAATGTGCAACAGAGCAAGTTGCACCCCATTGTATGTGCTATCCAAATTACCTAATGCTTACAAATTCAGAGTGTAAATCTTTTGGATGAATAAATTCAAGATACGGCAGTTAAAAACGTACCTTTGCTGTACCCTTAGTGGCCTTAGTAATAGTTTCAAGGCATTTTGGGAAATGGGCATAGAATGTTATTCATGAAAAAATTGATTCACATGTTAAAATAGGTACAGTTCTTTCCAAAACGTTATACGCGTTTACCACAGCTTTATATGTCCTTTCCAGGGTGGTGCTAACGTAAAAAGTGAAAATGATTACGACTACGCCTTTATGCACAAAATTTGGGAAAAATGCACTCTATTTTTTCTACATTTTCGAATTTTACGTTGAATTTGGAGTACAACGATACGCCATCGTTGACCCTTTACTTTAATTTCATAATATGAAAAGAATCACATGAGAAGACTTTTAATTTACGGATGAAGAAACTCAACAATTGAAAACATATCAAATAAAAGTAACAAAAGTATGGAATATCTACACTTTACGGAAGCCTGGAAGGGCCAAAGGACAAAAAATATTAAGTCGACATTTCGACTTAGTATGTTGAAATTTCGACTTTGTATGTTGAAATTTCGACGTTGTATGTTGAAATTTCGACTTTGTATGTTGAAATTTCGACTTTGTATGTTGAAATTTCGACTTTGTATGTTGAAATTTCGACGTTGTATGTTGAAATTTCGACTTTGTATGTCGATATTTCGACTTAGTAAGTTGAAATGTCGACTACGTATAATATAATATATAATATAATACGGAATTTTGGGCCACTTTTTATGAGAAATGTACGTGTGGACAATCTCAGAAAGTGCCGGTTTTAAGAGACGATTTTAAGGAGATACAATGGATCGCGGTGGCGAAAATTTTGTACAAAGGCTACAAAGACCAAAATTACGTTCCTGTAAAAATTGCACGAATTTTTTTAGAAATATGCTTTTTTCACGAAATAAAAAGTGATTTGGTTGACCAAATTTTAAATTTTTTAAGTCCTCCAGACAGTGCAGTTGTGGCCGTGGCACTGAAAGATTGGGAAAATGTTGACGAAGACGAACTTGTTTCAATCATTGAATCTTTTGGTTGCAAAAGGTATCCCACAAAAAATAACATAAAAGACATTATATCGGATATATCCCACAAAGAGATTATCCAAAAGTCAACTTACGTAATCGACTGCTGGTATCAAGTACTACAAAATATGATAAGTCATATTGATTTAAACCAAATTTACATGGCATATACGCCAACTGCAAAAAATACACTTTCAAAGTTTCTTCAGAAATAAGCGAAAATCAAAAACAAGTGGTATGCTATTTTAAAAAATATATTAAAGAATGCGACGGTTCATTATTGCAATCATTGATCAGATTTTGTACGGGTTCTGATATTTTAACTGAATATGGCATAAGCATAAGCTTTAACAACCTTAATGGTTTTAGTAGGAGAGTGATTGGGCATACTTACTTGTAGTTTTAATATAGACCTACCTGACACATATGAATGTTATATAGATTTTCGGTCTGAACTGAACTCACTTTTGAAATCCAATGTGTGGACTATGGATTCTGCATAAGTTTCATTGGTATAATGGTATCATCTACCAGCTACCTAAACAAAAATTGTTATTTAAGGTTACTTTTTATATTTTTATTTAAGCTGTTGTTTGATAAGTTTTACTAATATGTAAGTTGATATACAGGGTGATTCCCATAGTACCTGCCACCGTTTGGGAGCGTATAGGGGGTGCCTAGGGGAGTATTTTGATATAGGACACTTGGGGTCGGAAATCTAAAATAAGGGCGCCAGAACCAAATTTATCTTCTGGAATTTCACGCCTGTATGTAGGCAACCCAACCGACCGACGTTTCGCGCGGAGCGATGCAGAGCGAGTTAGCGCGAGGAAGCGACATGGGAGGGAAGGAGGGAAAACGACAGTCAAAAGCAATAACGTTTACAAGTGTTCAACGTGGCCACCGTTGTTCTCAATGCACTTCCTACATCTAGCCAACTATTATTATACTATTGCCATAGTGTTTATTCACTTGATACGCGTCGTTGCAGACGGGATTTCGTGGGTTTAAACAAAATTCTGATCAAGTGTCAGCCACACATCGCCGCCTGAGATCGCTCCGTGTGCACCGCCGGCCGGTTGGGTTGCCTACCTACAGGCGCGAAATTCCAGAAGGTAAATTTGGCTCTGGCACCCTTATTTTAGATTTCCGACCCCAAGTGTCCTATATCAAAATACTCCCCTACGCACCACCTACACGCTCCCAAACGGTGGCAGGTACTATAGGAATCACCCTGTATTACCTTAGGTGAAATCAAGCACTTAATAAAGTATGCTGGTTGGTTTTGTTATGCTTATGAATTATCGACCCTATATGACCCCAAAGATCATACTACACTAGATAGCCAACGTATATGCAAGAGTTGTTTGGCGTTTAAGTAGTTCTATAAACATAGGTATTATATTAAGTGCTTCCATAGATACACTAAAATAACTGACTTGGTGTAATATTTAGAAATTATTTATTTTCATGGTAAAGGTAGGTATGTGCAACCAACTATAGCTACTATGTAAGTAAAGGATAGATAGTTGACTTATTCGCAATATTGGAGCCAATTTTTAATTGACTAACAATGACAACAGAATTATATTTTTTTGTAACAATTATTCCCATTGCAGGTGATAGTGATTTTTATTTTCGCGCTAAAATTGGCTCCAATATGGCGGACGAGTAAGCTATCCTACATACCTATACAACAAACTATACTAAATTTATATGAAATTAGAAGGCATCTACTACAAATCCAATAGCACACCAATTTCAGATTTCAACATTTTATATAAAGTTAAAGCGTCATAAGGATCCTTAGGAGGTGGTAAAGTTTTCTCTTCCATTATCAATTTGCAAAGTTCCTCGAGGTCCTCATCGTAAACTGTCTCTAGATTTTTACACTCCCGTTGACATGCTATGCGCTTGACTTCAGCTACTGGGAACTTTGAAATCGCGAGTGTTATAGATTTCGGGTGATTCAAACATTAGTACAGGTCGTCCGTGAGGTGCAACACTATTCCTGGATTGTCTTATGCGATGAATATTCCATTCAAGTGGGACATCATCTAACTCATCCCGAGACTCATCCTATAAAAACGATTTCATATTAGGTATTGTAGATGTAGATATTAGTAGGAATATTATAGAATGAGTTTATAATGTAAGTATTTACATGAATTTTTCTATGCTTGATCAAGTCTATAAGAATCAGTTTATTATCAACTCGTTACATCTAACGGAATGTGAATAAACTCATATTATTTCAAATGAGAATAGGTTAACAATTAAGCGATATCCTTACCTGTATTATTTCCAAAAAACAAAATTGGCACAAGTTTTTGTCGAGAAAACTACCATCAAAGATAAATTCCTATTTGAAAGAAGTTGATCCAAAATTGAGCATGATGTTTTCTTAATATGGACCACCACGACTCTATTCTTTGGTTGGCTGTACTTGTTCCATATATAAAATAAGGCGCTTGCATTGAAGCCACTGTTCCGTTCTCGGTTCCGAAATCAGCTCTAATTCGGCGCGGACAACCTCCAAGACGTGTTACTGTTGAAATATAGTATCCTGCAATGACTTTTGGATCGCTACTTGTTCTGCCAGCTTTTAACCAAACAATATGTCTGGAAAAACCATCGATGCACCCATTTATAGCAATGCCATAAGGTTTTAATTTGTCGTACGAGTCCATGTGCCATAAGTAATTAGGTCCCTGATTTTGATATTGGCGTCGCCTTAACCTTTTCTTACGCCTGAGTTCTACTCCTTGTGAATCAATAAGACCTATGGCTAAACGTACCTACCGTTTCACGGGTAACATTTAGTCCTGCTTGAATGCATTTCAAATGCAGCCACTTATATCCGCATGCAACTGAGCATTTGTTCCAATTTGTATGTTTAGGAACGGTATCAATATTTCCAAAGGAGTATAACTTTTCCTTCGAAATAAACGCATTCTGCTTAAATGTCTCTTTAAACTTCATTCGCTTATAGTTATTCCGTGGTTTTTAGATAAAAAGTAGCGAATTTCTATTTGATTTAGCCCACTTGCAAAGTACAACTGTATCAAATCATCCACACTCTCCATTATTGACTAAGGAAACACTAAACTAGTAGGTAGCACATGCACGATCAGTAAGCAACTGCGAAGTATGTCTACCCCCACGTACCTACCCATTAAAAGTCGAAACATTTTATGTTGAAATTTCAACATAAAAAGTTGAAATTTCAACATAAAAAGTTGAAATTTCACATAAAAAGTTGAAATTTCAACATAAAAAGTTGAAATTTTAACATAAGAAGTCGAAATTTCAACATGCTAAATTGATATTTCAACATGCTAAGTGGAAATTTCAACATACTAAGTCGAAATATCGACTTAATATTTTTTGTCCTTTGGCCCCTCCAGGCTTCCGTAACACTTGACGTTTTAAAATGTGTCCAAATATTCCTCCGTCTTGGTTTAAACATGTTTCTAGCCTTTTTATGACATTTCTGTGAGTTGAAAGCATCTCTAACTCGTCTCTCCAATCTCCATATCAGCTTTTGTTGTTGGTGGTGTAGCATAAACCATATCTTTGATATTTCCTCAAAGAAGAAATGTCTAGGGCGAACGTGCGGGCCATGTCTAAGGGCCTAAATAACCGATCCAGTTACCATTAAAGGTTCGCTCCAGATAATCCGAAATTGCCCACGCATTATGAGCTCGCTCACAACATTGAATTCTGCGTTCATGATCGCCATCGTAAAAGCAATGCATTTTTTAAAACAAATATGAGTGGCATTTATGCTACTTTTTGAGTATTCTTTGCACACTCGTGTCTGATGTGACAATTTCCCTTTGAATATCATTCGGTGCTGCAGGTGGATTTGCAGTAAAATAAGCCTGTGCAGTTATTTCTTGTTCTTCAGAGTCTATCACAGGCTTTCTTTTTTATTTTTGTTTGAAGCATGCCGTTATCCCTGCAATTTTGTAGTAATTGGCGAATTGTGGCCTCTGTGGGTCGCGCCTTGTCAGGGTATCTTTCGGAAAAAAGACGGCAAGTCCTGGCTGCTATTCGATTACATTCACCGTGTATAATATTAAATTCAAAAATTTTCATTAATGTAACCCAAACGAGTCATTATTGACCAGAAATAAAATTTCAAAACTGTTCAAAAAGCGAAAATTTGACGTTTAAACGTTATCATAATAAAACCAAACATCAAGCGACTTAATTTTTTTATCAATTTACTACAAGCAGTAACTAAAACATGGAATATCTCGGAAACCGTTTGAAGCAGCCTTTGCCATTTGTGTATCAAATTAAAGGTCTCGGAAAAAGGGAAACAACAGTGAAGAAAAAATGGTTTCGGAAATTTAAAAATTTAAAGGTTTAAAGCTTTTTAAAAATGACGTAGTCTCATTTTTCTAGACGGTTACACGCATACCATAAGAAAATTCGATCTTTCCTTAATAAAGTCGTGAAAACTGTTTTACAATACCTATATCTTACCGTTTTCGATTAATAAATTTTTAAAATAACCCCTGCAAATTCAATTTTTGACATGCAAACGTGAATGACGTGAATCTATATTGACGAACCCCTTGGAGCAAAGGGTCAATTATGGGGTATCGTTGTATTCCAAATTCGACGATCGATCGAAATCGGAAAATGTAGAATGTTCCTTTTTAAAATAACAAAGTTGATGGCCACCTTCGGTATTTGAGGAAGTGAATCTTGAAAATATTTTAGTTCAATTCGTCGCCCTTCAGGCTGGACAGTACACCTGTTCCGTTGCCCGAAACCGCTTGATTTCCTTCCACGATATCTGAATTCTGAGTGAAGATGATGAAGGGGTCGAATGTTCCTGTGAAAGGTGAATGCTTTAGCTAGACAATAACACCGGAATTTCTTAAAATGTTTTTAAATAATCTTTTTTTTAGGGGCCCATTATTTTCTAGCTATCCTTGTTTCTACATCTATGACATCTCCAGCTACCTACCTCAGTACTCATCTATTCTATGACCAAAGCTCGTCCACTTGGTTTGTTTCTCTACTATTACCTATCAGCAAAGGTTACTCTTTGTTATCAGCTTGTTGCTTGAAATTCTGGCACGTTTAACACTAAGATCATCTCAAGATCCTGTTGAAAGGAACGGAGATCATCTAAAAGACTCGAAAATCTTATATTAGCATTTGTAAGCCTTCTGGATATACCTTTCCGACCATTCTAGGTAATTTCAAATATTACAGTGTGGTTTGTATAACCAATTGTATTTAAATACAATGGTATAACGTAGGTACATACCTTTGAATCAAAGGTACATACTGTGGAGCAATAAGCATCGTACTGTGTACTTATAAATTACACACTTTGTTTGCGCCACGAGTTATGCCAAATGGGCAGCAGGTAATAGTAAATAAATTAATCTCAAGAAGAATATGGAAGTAGTATGGAATGGCAATGCCATTTTTACCTAGCAAAAATGAAATTAAATGCATCGTGTGGATATCTGACGTAAATCAAAAGAATTACGCGTTTTGATGTAGTGTATAAATGCAGGGCCCATTATTACCAATAGGGTACTTCCTACAAATCTCGCACCCTCCCTGCGATTTGTAAAAGAAATCTACTATTTACCTACAAGTGGTAATTTACTTTCGTGTACTTAGTAACGACAAAAAGCGTTCAGTTCGTAAACGTACGTTAGATGTCAGAACGATATCCTTTTCAATGACTACTTTTCCAAATTAGCGCGTATCCCACACACATTTATCATTGAATAACTATTAAATTCAAGGCATTTATGTTGGAAGCACTGGAACTACTTGTGGCTATTGAACTTGCAAAAGTAAAACAAAAACACCAATAGACCACAAGGTAATTATAATAAAATTTAAAATATCGAACGCGTTCCAACAGCATCGCTGTCATCATAAGAGAACAACTATTGTTTTTTCCCGGTCAATTTCGGGCATGTATTTTTTCGCCCGAAAATACGTTTTATTTTTTTTTAGAAATTTAAATGGTCTCTTGTTTATAACTTTTAATGTAGGCGCCCAATTCTTGAAAATTCGGGATATATTGGTTTCTACAAGTCAAAATGTATAAGAAAAAGACCTTTATAGACTTTGTACGTGGTCCCTAGGGTGTGCGAAAATGAAAAATTTGAGTAATTTTCAACATGAAAATCACATTTTGCGTCATATATTGGTTTTATATACATAAAATATATAAATAAAAACACGATTATATTCCCTTAATCTAATTTCGTACTTTATCCTTATATACATAATAGAGATCTTCAGTATTGTTTTCCTTTGCTCAATCATTTTGTGATAAAGCTGATCAGCAATATCTTCTTGGGGCCATTGATTTCCGATTCGGTCATTTGTTTCATATGTTCATTGATTTAGTCGTATTAAATAGGTTTACCTAATGAAAGTACATAAAAAGGCGCTTTGACATAGTTAAATGTACTCTGCACAATCTCTTCGCAGAGCATATCGAACATAATGTCGGGTATTCATCACAGAACTAGCTTACAAGCACTATTTCATACACACAATTATGTCTAATGACTAAATATTGAGATGATATATGGCACAATATATAATATTGTTTGGATATGTTGTCCTTACGTGCAATTTCAGGTACTCTTATTGTTGCACTAAATATTTGTGTACTGTTCTGATAATACTCATAAATGAGTGTCGTGCTTTTCATGCTCATCAACGGGTCCTCATTAAATTACAACCAAATGCACTTGTAATACACAGACCCTCTAGACGCACATTAAACCTGCACTCGTTCCCAATCCCGGGTATTGTTATTAACGTAGTGATTCGCATCCTTTTCATTTGTGGCACTAATGCATTCTTTAAGATTTTTTTCATTTTTCATGGCATTTTTGTTTTGTGGCATGTTGACGTAATTGTCCGCGGTTTTCACAATATCTTCATCAGTCTTTTCCATAATAATGGGGGGCATATGATAAGACGGATTTGAAAAACTTGTGGGCGTTTTGACACAGGGACTTAATTCACAGTCTGATTCGTTCTGAGTATGAAGCATCGGTAACAGTTCGGTGCCCAACGCTAGTTCAGTGTCACTATTTTTATGTTTTCTATTACTATTGTCCACGTCAAAATTGAAAACTGTATCACACTGCTCGCGGGGGCTGAATATGCTGGAAGGTTTCATGCATAAGTATCCAGGTGTGTCCATACCAGGAATGTTTCCGTTGAGGTGTACGTCATCATTAACGTAATGGTGAGGGGAGGAGAGGTGCTCAAAATCTGGTGGACTCAACATTGCCAAATAGTCACTGTGACCCGCTTCGATGCGTTGAGTGTTCATTACCAAATAAGGGTCGTTTAGGTCGACATAATGCTACAAACGATCAATGAATCGGCTATTAAAACCCGGTTTGATCTTACCTGTCTGACGCTATCTTCGAGCATTAGGCCAATTTTTTCGGATAACTTTGTAAACGTCGGTCTAGCAATGGGTTTTGGGTGCCAACAGTCGCACATCATTTTGTATCTGGAACGTTTTAGAATCAGATTGTACAAAATGAGTGAGAAGCAACTTACATTTCATCGGTGGCATACTCAGGTTGGTCCATTCTATAACCATCCGCCAATTTCTGGTAGAAAATTTCGTTCGCCTCCATGCCAGGGTAGGGAGTTCGAGCTAATGAGAAAAACTCCCACAGCACGATACCATAAGACCATATATCGGACTGCGTCGAGAAGACACGGTCGCGTATGGATTCCACAGCCATCCACTTCACCGGCAATGGTCCCTAGTAGCGATGGTTAAAGTCATTGTTTGCAAATAGTGCATACTTACATCCCCTTTCTTTTTGTAATTATCACTTTTGTACATACTCTTGGCTAGTCCAAAATCACAAATTTTGACAATATTATTCTCCGCCAGCAGAATATTTCTGGCTGCTAAATCACCATGAAGCACCTGTAAACTTTATTGATTATTTGTCCACCGAACCGTAACGCCCACCTTTCGTGACGCGAGATATTCCATACCGCGGGCCACTTGGAACGCCCAGGTTATCAGATCCTTGGTGCAGATCGGCTTGACCGTCCCTTTGTAGTCACCGCGGTAATTCGATCGCCATTCGGGTTGTGAACTGTTACTGTTACTACCGGTCATTAAGCAGTCTTCTCCTGCAGATCGATTGTGAGTCAAGTCGGAGACGATAGGGGTAACTTACCACCAGTGGGTGTCATTGAAACCATGGTCGTGTCCGTAACTGCAGTATTTCCACTATAGTTGCAGTTTCCTCGATAATCAACCATATCTCTTGGTAAGGGATTGTTGTCACTGTGTGAAAACGTTAATGCAGCATACTTCACATTAGGAGAGTTACTATAGAATTTAAGAAGAAATAATCATGCAAAAGAGAGTAAATGAGCACTGATTGGTATTTACTCCACTAAACGCATTGCGCATGTACCTACCAGCTTTTGTTACTAGAAACCGAAAAAGAGCGTTCTAGTAGCTCAGAGCCGTAAGTGTAGTCAATTTTTCCAGTCTTGCTATCAATTTGATTCACAAAACTGTTGCGGTGGCGAAGAAGGTAATTGTGGAGGTTGCCAAAGCGGCAAAATTCAACAATGACCAATAGCTCTCCTGTAAATATAAAAATATTATTCGATTACTGAAAGTCTACCACATACGCTTGGCAACGTTCTTAGTGCACGCTCCTAGCAAATTAACGACGTTTAAATGCTTCCCCAAGTGAACCATGATTTTTAACTCTGAAGCGAGCGCTTTAATGTACGTGTAGTCCGCATTTCTCTTGACCATCTTTACTGCAACTGCGGTTACTTCCTCCCCTTCAACGATTCCGGTTGCCTCGGCTTTCATGACAACGCCAAAAGCGCCCGACCCCAGTTGTTTACCTAACTTTAGCTTTTCTCTGGGGAACTCATACTTTTTGTCATAGGGCAATAGCTCAGCTTGATCGTCTATACCCAACTCAGGGTTTAGGCTTTCCAACGCACCATTCTCGAAATTTGCCAGACCAGCTCTCTTCAACTCCCTTCTTAGTTTCTAAAAATACAATGCATTCACTCTCAGCTCTCATGGCCAACTGGCATACCTTCTCCTTCCTGTACCTGAGGCAGGTGTAAATGCACACCACCAGGCAGGAGAATATAATCCCAACAATAACGTACACGAAAATTAGATTAGCCGTCGGTTTATCTGCAAACGGATTTAATTAGCGTAATTAAATTACCTTCGGGACGTACTATTAAACTGCAGCGATATCCTCTTTTCTGCAACCCCAATTTTATTTTTGGCGCGACAGGTGTACTCGCCCTCGTCCTCCACCTGAGTGAACGGAATTTGAAGCACGTGGTCGTTTTGGAAGAACGTAATTCTACTTTTCGTGTTCCTTTCAACGATCTCCTCCCCATTCTGAAAAGGGAGTCAACGCATTTTTTAAAACACAGCGAGGTACTTACCAAGTACCAGGTTATTGTGGGTTTAGGTATGCCGACGGCAAAGCACCATAGTCGGAACTCGTCAGGGAGTGCGATTGTAAACGTGGAACCGTTGAGATTCGTGTCAGTAATTAGGGGCGATGATGGATCTAGTAGAAAATATGTTAACGTTCAAATTATTATAAAAAAACATATTTTTGGGTTGCATGATAAACAAAAGCTCATCCTTAAACACTTAAAGTAAGCCAATGAAGAACGAGGGTCAAAATTTCTATAACTAAAGACGTTTCTCGTCGGAAGATTCCGAATACGCATCTACTGATTAATTTTGCGTATCGTTGTCAATGTAATGTTCCGTGTTTTTTCTGATTCACAGACTTTTATCTACAAGGATATTTGTTTTAGAAGGTACAGTGCTATCTATTTTATTTATGTCCAATTAAATAGTTGAATCTGTTTAAGGACTATTGTCATAATTAATAATAGATTATAGCTCCAACAAAGGTAATATCTAAAGTAATTTGATTGGTAAAGAACAACTGTTAACTCTTGTATTAGATGTCGAACCTCTTAAAATTGGATTGGATTCTGTTTTAAGAAATTTGTTAAAAGTTCAGTAAACAAAGTTTCCAAATTCATGGATTCATTGTAATTATGTAAATTGTGCATGAAAATATATCCTACATATTTATATTTTGTTCTTATTTCGTATTTACGCTAGGTATTTCACAGAAACCGTGGCCACGTAGATCGTTTTAGTTAATTTGGAGTTATTTGCAGAAATGGGAAGTATATATTGGAACCACTTAATTTATGTTGTAAATTTATCAAAAAACTTTACGGTTATTTTGTGTTTCATTGTTTACAAGTAAGCAATTCAGGAACAAGAAAATCCAATTTTTAAGGCAAATTAAACAGAAAGAACAATAAAGGAATTTTAGTAAATACATCACCGCAAAAAAACTTAAGTAGAGAAGACAATTATTTATACAATGCTGTTGAGGTAAGTCTCTGAAGATCCAGAAGATCTTTGCTTTCCTTAACACCGAATCATTTTTTATTTAGAACTACTGAAAACGGAATTAATATGTGGAAACAAAGAACGAAGAAACCAAATTAAAACTGTTGAGTGAACAAATGAATACCAGGCTAGTTCAGAAATTCGTGCGGTTTGGACAAGGTTTTATAGGTAGAACTGAAGCTGGAACGTCCAATCCAACTACTGTAAGCGCTGCAGATGGGAGGACTTTCAAAGTATTATACAAAGATGCTTTTACCTTTGATAGATAACGTGATGTTATCATAATGGTACATGTCCTGAGTCTTCGGCGAATCTGTGATAAACTTTTCTTTAACCTGACATGTATAGTTACCGGAATCATCGAAACCAATTTGGTGTATGGTGAGCGTTAGTTTGTTCGAGAACTCCGTCGAGCTTTTCTCAATTTTAAAATCTGTGAATGTAAAGACATGACTTGAATTCATTTGTCGATCGGAAACTTACGGTCATTCTCTTCAATTGGATTGAAGTGCGATCCGTTGTTTTTGTACCACTTGAGCTGTTCCGTGTAGTTATATCTTGATGCGGCGCAATACATGGTGATAGTCTCCCCTCGAGCGATGGGGTAAAGAGGAATCTCATTGTGAATTTCTTTCGTTTCTTCGTCGAAACCCCAAATTCCGAAACCGTTATCGACATCTGTGAGAAAATGGCCCATGATGGAACGGTCCGAGCCCATAGAATTGTTGGCTGTGCACATCACAAAACCGGACTGATCCGAGGTCAAATTTAGGAAGGAGGTTTTCAGTAACCCTTGCGTGTCGGTCCCAGTGGCTTTCCTCTGAAATAGCGATTGAATTTAAATGGGAAATGTGCGGTGGGGTGAATTACTGGTTCAAATTGGCAAGAGTTATCCAAGCAGTTTCGGTAGTACCAATAAATCGAGGGGTCGGGATACGCCGCAACTTTACATTTGATGATACTTTGCTGGTTGATGACATGGAAACTGTCGGTTTCGATGTGCACGGTTGGTTTATCTGAAATGGTAAGTGTTACAAATCGTGAAGACTAATTCACGGTTTACCTGTGACATTCAAGAATAAATTGAGGGTTTTCTCTTCATAATCATTGATTGCTTTCAGTTGGTAGGTGCCCCGATCGAAAATCGTAATGTCGAAAATTTTTAAAAACGCTTCGTGGTTTTCGGTTCGCACCTCGTACTTTTTGTTGTTTCCGTTATCGGCCCACCCCGCCTGTATTTCGGTGTTGTGGTTATCAAGCCTGCGTTTTAAGAATAAACTTTGGAATCGTGAGTGTGCGAACTTACCATACGAGCTTCGGGGAAGGATGGGCCTCGACGTTAATGCTCCATTGAATACTTGGCTCGCCTGCACTGACCGAAATTTCATAGACGCCATTTTCTTCAGTTAAATTGATGAAATGTTCAGCTTTGTCTAAAGTAAAAGGTAAATTTTGGAAAAATATCATTTGACCTACCAAAAATTCTAACATATCTCGTATTATTATTGACATGATTTGGATCTTTAACTATGCAAGTGTATTCGCCTTGATCAATCGGTTTAGTTTTCTCAATGGTCAGTATTTGATGGTACTTTTCATTTGAATCGGCAATTGATTTACTAACTGATATGCGTCCGCTCTGAAACATGCATGTAGACTAAGGTTACATTTTTCTTAATTGTACCCTTATCCCATTTCTGTCAGGGGTAACCCATTCCATTGAGGATCGCACAGTGACTTTCAATGTACATTTTAGTGTCAGTTTTTCGCCTACGACCGTGTGGCCTCCGCTTAACTCCTCCAGGTAGGGTTTCGCAATTGAGTACGTCAACACTATTGGAAAATGTAAGGTTAATTTCATGCGATGAAAGAATGGGTTTTTTTGAAAATAACGCAGTGAAACTACAAACATTTTTTTTGGAAACGGTTGCTTTATCAGAGTTTATAATGTGCACGTGGGAAGGTTGCGGAAATCGAAGGTGTTTTTAATTCACTTATCCTTATCACTTTTTATTTGTGGTTATATTGATGCAACACTGTAGACAGAGCTGGGCAAAATACTTAAGAATAAAAAGTATTTGAATACTAAATAGTAAATACTTTACACAAATCAAAGGTATTTGAATACTAAATACTTTTATGTCCAGCACAAGCGAATTCTAGATACAGAATACATTGTAAAGTATCCAAGTACTTTAAAAAATAAGTATTCAAATACTCTAGAATGTATTCGAATACTATAAAAAGTATTCGAATACTTTGAAAAGTATTTCACTTACTTTGAAAAGTATTCGAATACAGTAAAAAGTATTCAAATATACTTTAAAATTTAAAATAGTATACTAGATAAAAGTCTTAATACTACTTAAAAAATCAAGTTATACTTTGTATGGGGTTAGCTTTTTTATATTTCTATTGTTATATACAAATTTAAGGGGAGCAAATGCGTATTATTATTATTATATTGTTATATACGAGGTACCTACCAGGACCTTTCTTATATCAGTTACATCCTTAAGAATATGTGTACCAGTTTTCAAAGCGTCGTGCACATGATACGTAGGTACGCCTTTCTGAAATTAATCCTAGCGATTTTGGAACAGATCCATTTTTGACCATCCGTTTGTCCGTGTGCATGATAGTTTGTTTAGAAACCTGCGATCGCTTTAAAAATTGGTACACATGGTCTTAAGGATATAAGAAAGGTCCCTATTGTTTTTAAGTTACGTAGATTATCGAGTCAAAAAGTTTCACTCCAGGATCGTTCGGTATTCAGTTGTATCGGATTTTTATATTTGATTTTGTGACAATGGAAACTTTCCCTAAACATATCTAAATTGTTCTCAAATATTTGAATAACTTAAAAGTACTTCCTTTTTCAAACAGTTCCAAGATTAGGCTACTAGTTCAAAAGTTACAGCCCTTTGAATTTTCTTTCGAAATTGGTTTCTAGTCTATAACTTTTGATTGAGAACTCTGATCGAAAAAGTACGAATTGTTTTGGATTCTACGCACCAAAATTAATTAGAAAAAGTGTTTTCCCGAGAAATTTTGGTGCAGTCCATTTTTGTTAAAAAAGAAGGTTATACACTGCCTTTTTTTGAGGCCCGAAAAAAAAATTGTCTCAGATCGACCCGGAAAAATATTTTCGTATAGAATGAGGCCTGTAGAATCCATAATTTCAAACAGTTCCAAGATTGGGCTACTAGTTCAAAAGTTACAGCCCTTTGAATTTTCTTTCGAAATTGGTTTCTGGTCTATAACTTTTGCTTGAGAAGTCTGATCGAAAAAGTACGAATTGTTTTGGATTCTACGCACCAAAATTAATAAGAAAAAGTGTTTTCCCGAGAAATTTTGGTGCAGTCGATTTTTGGTAAAAAGGAAGGTTACACTGCCTTTTTTTTCGGGCCTCAAAAAAAATTGTCTCAGATCGACCCGGAAAAAAAATTTTCTTATAGAACGTGGCCTGTAGAATCCATAATTTCAAACAGTTCCAAGATTGGGCTACTAGTTCAAAAGTTACAGCCCTTTGAATTTTCTTTCGAAATTGTTTTCTGGTCTATAAATTTTGATTTAGAAGTCTATCGAAAAAGTACAAATTGTTTTGGATTCTACGCACCAAAATTAATTAGAAAAAGTGTTTTCCCGAGAAATTTTGGTGCAGTCCATTTTTGTTAAAAAAGAAGGTTATACACTGCCTTTTTTTGAGGCCCGAAAAAAAAATTGTCTCAGATCGACCCGGAAAAAAATTTTCGTATAGAATGAGGCCTGTAGAATCCATAATTTCAAACAGTTCCAAGATTGGGCTACTAGTTCAAAAGTTACAGCCCTTTGAATTTTCTTTCTAAATTGGTTTCTAGTCTATAACTTTTGATTGAGATGTCTGATCGAAAAAGTACGAATTGTTTTGGATTCTACGCACCAAAATTAATAATAAAAAGTGTTTTCCCGAGAAATTTTGGTGCAGTCGATTTTTGGTAAAAAAGGAAGTTTAAGTATTCAAATACTATGCGAAGTATTCGAATACTTCTCAAAGTATTCAAATACCTTGCGAAGTATTCGAATACTTTACGAAGTATCCAAATACTTTGCGAAGTATTCGAAAACTAAATATTTGTGAAAGTATTTGAGTTACAAATACAAATACTGCTTCCATAAAAGTATTTAATTACAAAGTATTTGAATACTTTAAAGGATTTGAATACTAAATAGTTATTTATACAGGGTGTATCATTAATATTGCGAAAAAATTCAGGGTGAGAATCCTTGCATAAAAATAAGAATAAAAGTTCATCATAAACATGTAACAAAAATGCATATCGCACATTTCACTATTTTCGTAATTCATTTTGAAAAAGAAACCTAACAACTGTCAAATCGCTGTAAAGTAACGACTTTCATATAAAAAGTCAATGGCACTCTCGATAGAGTGATCCGACAAGTGATGATGCAGAGGAAACAAAAAAGTTTTATTTTCAATTGCATAATATTCAACACCCTGTATCTCGGAAACGAGGCGTTTTAGGAAACATGTTTATATGAACTTTTATTCTTAGTTTTATGCAAGGAATCTCACCCTGAATTTTTTCGCAATATTGATGATACACCCTGTATAACAAGAGCGCGAAGTTCAATTTCGCGCATTGAGACTGAAGGTATTTTGACGAGGCGAAATAACTTCGCGCCAGCGTTATATACAATATTTTTTCTACAACTGAACCGTTTGTTAATTAAATTTGCTGTTTAAGTTCAACTTTGTCACGTGCGCGAAATACTTTTTTTCACTGTTGCCGATTTCGCGCACGTTGTCAAGGGCAACCTTACTTATTAATTAACCGTTTAAAAATCTAGTAGTTCGCGCTTCGAAATTCGTCAGAAAATGACAAGTTTTTTGACGACAGTTGTAGAAAAAAGTATTTACAAAATCGGATATTGCCCAGCTCTGACTGCAGAGAAGCCATTTTCATTGTAAATAAACTCCACAGCCACAACCTTCCCGAGAAAAATATAGATTTTTAAGCTCTCCATTTCCACTAAGCAACGATAGTTTATAAGTGTACTGCCACAGTTAAAGATATGGTATGCAGTGCAGCAGAACAGTTTCAATAGTGCGTAAGATAAACTACATTAAGCTAAAAGTATGACAATACAGGAAGCGTTAGTTACCACCACAAGAAGTTGTAGGAAATGGTGTACAGCAGACGATCAAACACCATAGCAAAAAGATGTCGAAAAGAACAAAAACACTAACCGACACCACTTTACTTACGTTCTACGTATACAACTACCTCCAAATCAAAACTCTTTTCATCTTTACTGAATGTACAAGTGTAGAGGATATGGCCCGACAAATCATCTGTGGGCACTGTATATCCAATTTTTGGGTCGTAACTTACGTTCTCTATCTGTAAAAACATTTCAAACCATTAGCAACTAATTGTAGCTAAGTGCATGTCGTAATAAGTAAACGCGATTTCGCACACAATTAGCAGCTCATGGTCGAAGATCTAAATTAGAAATTGAATGTACGTACGATTCACGTCCATCAGGATGTGAACTTTAAATCGTGCGAGACCTCTACTAAATCTGCACTCGTAGAGGACCGAATCGTCGTCCGTAACTTCATTGAAGGTAAATCCTTTTCGTGGATCGTAAGTGACGATAATTCCGTTTTTGTCGATTGTTTCCAAACGTACCTTTCCCATTGAATGCTGATTATTAAATTTATTCAAAACTGCATTAATTGGTTAGTAAATACATACCGCGGATGGAGGTAGAGACACTGCCGTTAATTTTATATACATTGGCGTGGCTCTAACTTAAATACGATAATTTAAAGCATTTTACAGCACCTAAGTTGATCAGATAACACGATACGATTGTTATAAGGATGGGCACTCATAAACGCTTTAATGTAAACTATTTGTCGCACTTAGGGCCATTTATTTATTTTTTTTATGTATCAGTTCGTAGTTTGGACCTTTGGGCAATTCAACAGACAGCAACTGCATTGGCCGAGATTGGTATATTCTCCATCGTATTTTATATTGACAAAGTCATCTTTATTATGAACTTGCACCGCATTCTGTGGATAGCTCAGAAGTTTCCAAAGCCTCAAGTCTACAGGTCCATCTTCGACTGCAAGGTTTTTGTTTGTTGCACCAAAAGTTCTCTTCTCTTCTTTCCGTTGTTTCGAGGAAAACCTTCCTGTCTAGCTGGTTCATGTTGTTATGGGATAGTTTATTTGTTTATAGGTAATGCAAAAAGGCTAAGTTAAACAACGTGTTGGAAGTAACATGACCGCAACAACATTCCAAAGACGGCAACGATTTGAATAGGTACTGTAAATCGTCGACAGTGTCAGAAGAACAATACATGAAGAAAACATGGTTTTTAAACAAATTAATTTAACGATGAAATAAGCCAATTAGTAAAGTGATCGTAAAAAATTACCACAAATTACAATAATAGAATCTAACGATAAATTACAGGTAAATTTGGTATGAAAACGCGAAAGCTGTCACGTCCAAAGAGTTGACGCCTTTTATAGACGGTACCATTTTACAAATCTGTTGATATTGATGAAGATAGGGGTATTTCTTTGTAAAAGTTGGTAACATGCCTTTTTATCTTAATTTGGATATGCCGAACCCTCAAAACTATGTTCCCACCCCGATTTCCGACGTTTAAGAGGTAAATATTGGAATTCAAGGTGGCTGCCGCACAAGGGACGCCTGGTGGATATTCTCTTGTGGCAGATATCGTATATCGTTTAAGAACACGAACTTATTAAGGGTTAAGGGATATGATATGAATCACACAATGAACGAGTGGCGAAGGCTTTAAAGAAGTATGATGAATGATGGGGAGAGATGTAAAAAAAGGAAAGAAATTTTAACGAATGGGACGACAAAACGAGATGTGAACAAAGCAGGAACAAAAAAGGCGATGCGGAAAAGCCGTAAAATAGAGAAAACGCGAACAAAAAGGTTTGAGGGTGGGAGAAATGATGAGATCATCACATAAAAATAACGTATGGAGCGAAATAAGCGTACAGAAAGGAAACCTTAGAAAAAGAAGTGAAAAAGAGTTGGAAAATAAGAATTACGGAGGCGTGAAAAATGTATAAAGGAAATCTAAATGGAACGAGAAGGGGTGAGACGTACAGGAAAGAAGTAATGATAGGAGCTGTAAAGGTAGAAGCTTTTATAAAGGAGGTGCTCGCCCATGAAGAAGATGTAACGGAAGCAGGTGCGAAAAATCCTGTATCAAAATCAAATTTTGTTTTCTAAGAGGGATTATAATGGAAATTTTCTATATATATTTCGGTTTCGGTTTGTACAAAAGTCGTCCATTGTATATAAGGGGATTTGTTAACAAACTGCCGTTACTTTCGACTTTACATACTATTGGCAAAAAGGCGGTTTTTAAGGAGGTTTAAAGATGCGAAAGAGATTTGAAGTGGGGCGAAAAAAAGGACGCGTGAAGCAATAAGAGGAAAAAAACACGGGCGTGAAAATGCGGGAAAGTAGAGATAAAACATTAGTGAAGCAGACATTAAAGCAGGAAAAAGGTAAAGACGAAAAGGAAGGCGTGCAGAATCCGTAAAAAAGTCGTGGAAGAGCTTTACAGATGGCACGAAGAGGGTCAAAGAGGGGTGAAAGAGAACGAATTTTACTCATTTATTGACCTTGAATCATTATTTAAAAAGCAAATTTACCACCTTTGCAATCAATTTAGTTTTTCCCATTGAATTGACACACACGGCATCAAATATATGTATGTATTACGAAACGTCAAAACGTTTTGACGTTTTCTCGACCATCTTTACACGTTGTCATATGATACATTTAAAGATTTCGAATGAAAATGATGCATAAATAAGATCTTTAAATCTTGAAAATTGGCTCCTATTTTGCTGTTGATTTAAGCTATCGATTTCCAAAAAAGGAATTCTTCTTTTTTAAATCATCAGACTTAGTGGACTTACTTCGTCTTAAAGTCCTTATTCTCCATGTTTTGTCTTTTGCTGTAAGTAACTAACATATAAGTCTCGGAAGACATAAGGCACTATATTTCATGAAGTTGTCTTTTGGATCTACGTTCATATAACATTTTCCAATATTTTTCACTAAATGAAATCCCAAGTAGGTATGGGCATTTAGTGCAGTAATCTTGGAATTGTCTAATTGCATTTTTCCGCACTTTCTTCCTCTTTTTCACCAAGAGCAGCTATAATTGGTGTCGAAAACGCCCTACACTTTTCCCGCACAGAACGAATGTAATCAAAAACTGTACAAGTCTCGAAAGCTATGTACGCTCAAGCGATATTTAAAATAATACGTACCTCTTCGCCCGTCGTTTGGTACAGCTCCACGTTAACATCGGGGGATGTTGGTCTGCAGGGCAAAACTACGGGCGAATACTGAGTGATCTGAACTGTGTACGGCAATTCGGATAATACTGACAGATGATCTTCGTCTGCAATGACAAGGATGAATCACACGCGCTAGTCAGTTCGCGACCATTTACCATAAACATAAAGATAAATACTGTTAACTCTGGAGACATCCTCAAAATCGGATGTATCACTATAGGCGCAGTGGTAGTACCCGGTGTCCAAGTAGGAGGCGGCGTTGATCTTGAGAATCGTTCCATACTTGTAAACGCGGTCGGGTGTCTCGGATGGCAAAACGGCCGTCGTCGACGTCTTGTTTAAGACGATGTCATTATACTGAAATAGAATAATTGAGGTTAGCCTTGCAACGTGTAGCGGAAACGGATATTTTCGGTATATAATATAGTTTTAGGACAAGTGAAAGAACTCCGATAAGATTTCTATGCAGATATTGCGCATTTGGCGATAGTATATTAAGGACGCCATAAAAATGTTCCCAAAGCGGAGAGTTTTTTATGGGAACCTTACGCGTACCTCAATTACTGATAGCATTAATGAAGTATTTCCGGGGTATATGGCTATAAGATAGGCCAAAGAAGAAATTTGCACATACGTAAATCTAGTCCTTGAGGTACAGTTAATTGGCATTATCAAAAAAATTCACAACGCATTTTTCTTTGTAGAGGGCGCGGACGGTTGTTATTAATTTTTGAAATAGTATGAGTCGGTAGAAAATGTATAAATCTACTGAATTGGGGCAATTAGCGATGAAGGTTGCTCTGGATCCAAATCATTATACTCGTATTTGAACTGATGCCGAATTGTTTAAACAATACATCTTCAAGCATTCTTAAGAGGCATCTCTTCTACCGCGCCTATTTTTAGCGTTCGACTTCTAGTAAAAATATATTTCCTTAGAAAATAAGCTCTAGGTGCGCTGCGGCAAAAATCATCCAATATGGTCTGTCTCAGTAATAAATTGCGTCCACTAGATGTACGTATTTAAAACCTTCTTTCAAAATGTAGGACGACCATCTGATCTAAATTCTCCACGCATTATTGGAAGACAAGGGAAGTGCACTAGTGAAAGAACACTATTACACTGTTTTGTTTTAGTTGGACCATGATCAAAGACTGCAGGTGAAGTTTAACATATAATGCTTCAGCCACACTTTCAGAGCTTACTTATTTTCAGCTTACATTCTTCTCGGAGTCCACAGTCCTAGGATTGGTTGGACGCAGTCATCCAACCTTTCCTATCCTTGGCTATCCTTCTTATTTCTACACCACTGCCCTTTTATACGGCCCTAACTATTTGGTCTATGTACCTAAGTCGCTGGCGTCCTACACATCTCTTGCCCTCTGACCTAACTTTTAGCTAGCTGTGCTAATTAGCCCACTCAACAGAGACCAAAAACTGCCAAATAGGGGAAACTGTTTCTGTAAAAGCGAATTTTGGTATAGTTGTAGGTGAAGGTGTCTTAAACAACGTACTAAAAGTACTGATGGATTGGGGTAGAGCTAACAGGTGACTGCGGTATAAAAGTACCTTTTTTTAGTTTTACGTAAATAATCGGCAAACGGTGATCCATAGCAAAAAATGTTCTCATAACATTCTCTACACACAGGATTCTATACACTTTTTCGCTGACTAAAAAAAGGGACCTTTACAACCCCCTCGCCCGTTGAAATAAATAATAAATAAATGATATAAATGATAAATGATATGAGTTAGCTCCGCCCTCATCCATCAGTACACCTACACTACACAACACTACACAAAAATTCACTTTTACAGGAATAACGAGTATTTCCCATATTATTCCTTCGTAGTGGACTAAATCCTCCGTGTCTGAACGCGTGCCCTATCATTCTATCTCGTCTTCTCTGTACGGTTTTCCACATTTCCCTATCTTCTTTCACTAGCTCTAAAACTGCTTCATTTGTTACCCTATCCATCCAGCTTCCGTACAATGTTCAATCTTCAGAACGAGAAGCCTAATTTTTCTGGAGATTTTGTTTACAAAATTTCCAAGAACGCGCTTAGATTTAAATATCGTCACTAAGATTGGTACATACATTTTCAGTTTGTGTGCAATTTTTAAATTGTATAGTCGCTTATTTAGGCAAAATTAATAAGAGAAGCCGAATCCAATTTAGGGGTAGCCGGTCAACAATTATTTCCGTATTTGGCGAAGTTTTCAAATATCACCCCTTTGTCAATAAAATTGGTACATACAATTTCAGTTTTTGGGAAATAACATTTGAATGTAGCCGGCTTATTAGGCACAAGCAATGAGGACAGCCAAGTCCTATATTTAGGGATAATCGGGGGCACATATCATCCCTTAAATATAGTCAGTAAAGTTGGTACACCGATCTCGGTTTGTAGGAAGAAAAAACTATTAAATGTAGTCGACTTTTTAGGCAAAAGTAATCACGAAAGTATAATGAGGATAGTCTAATTGAGGGCTGGCCGGGGAATAATATTATTCACGTACCATAAGTTATGCACATGACTCCTTTAATTATGTCAAGTGGAGAAGTCCAATTGAAGGATGAAGGATCATAATTTACGCATATCATCCCTTAACTACCGTCAATAAAATTCTCAGTTTGTAGAGGAAACATTTTTAAATGTAGTCGACTTCTTAGGCAAAAGTAATAATGTAGCCATTTCCAATTTAGGGTTGGCCGAGCTACAATTATTCACGTATTTGATAATTTACACATATCATCCCTTAAATATCATTAATGAAATTGGTTTCTACACTCTTACCATTTTTAAATGTAGTCAATTATTTAAGCAAAAGTATTGCCCGAAAACTAAAATTGATTACTCACATTACATACCCAAATCCGCCCCGCTCACTCCCTCAATTTTCAGCTATATTCAGCTAAATATATATCGGGCGCGGTATAGTTCGCCCCGATATAAATCTCAAAATATGTGCCTTCAATGTAACGAGAGCATTAGTTTTGGCTTTAAATTTTTAAATTTCTCGCAGAACTTAGTATCATGAATTCGTGGGTATTATTTATCAATGCGTCTTTGGTTTTTTTAATTTTTTAAGTCCCTCTAATCGTCAGTAATTTAATTAGCTCATCATGAAATAAAACCGCACAACATTTAACATAGAACCTTTCGATTAATTGGATTCAACCAATTTTAAATTTCTGAAGAGTTCAAGAATTTAAATTTTACACCATAATTTCAATAAGCAATGAGCCAAATTTAAGGGTTCATTTATTGTTGGTATTTTTTTCGTTTATACATAAAAAGAAAATAAGAAATTGTTTAGGTGTATGTAGAATTTAAGATATTTAAAATAGCATTAGTTATGGAGAAATTTGAAGAGAAAGCTTCATTTTGGATAGAAGCAAGCCGCTTTTCACAGTGGTAGTATGGAGGAAAAAAAACAAATTTGCCCGTAGCAGCGCAAGTTTCATCCCTTAGGGACAATTACAGCACAATCAAAAAAGATTTTAAAGAAGATACTTACGGTATTGTTAGGTAAAATCCACGTGACCGATTCCGTTCCTTCACATCGTAGGGTAAAATTGTCATTTGATTGAATAATATATTCGTTTCCTTTACTAGTGGAGATGATCCTTGGTGGAGTAGAATCTGTTCCATATGCTGAAACAATTTTTTTGTTATTAGACAATTCGAAAATCAATCAATAAAAAATTAAAACTTATTATAACTCGTTCCCCTTTTGCAAAATTTGTTATGGTAGATCTGAACGCTTCTCAATTTGATGTTTTGACAAGGTTGAATTGCAGATTTCTTTTCAAGGGGGGATTTGAGTAAAACTGAAGTCGGTCCAAATTCTGGATTCTAAGAAAGAATATGCACATTAAAATCTAGTACGACTGTCTTGGAACGGGGAGCAAAAGTGTCTGTGTCACAGAAATTATTTTCAGTTTTGCAAGCAAGGAAAGATCTGCTCTTCTCATATCGAGTATTTCACATTTCTCCAAAATCGGTTAACAAAGATAAGTCCTTAACATGTAAAGTCAAAGAAAACATTGTTACATATAAAACAACAAGTGTGAATTATACTTCTGCAGGAATATACCAAATGAATGGTATGGTTCTACAGGAATTCGAATATCTTACTCCTATATTACCTCCTTGGTGTCCCTTTAACTGAAGAAGCACTTCCTTCACTTTTTGTCCAAAATTATTGAAAAATTTACATCTCTGACCAATAACATAGTATATAGTAGTCTTGACGATAGTGTCCATATACAAAGGCAGTTTTGTGTCAGCTTTATTGTAAGAGTGCTCTTGGTACCACTCATATAGCTATAATGGGCGCTCTTTTAGGTATGCTTCCACTGGAATTTCGACATTGTCGCATTTTGGCCCCAAATCAGCTATTTTTAGGGGAATTCCCCTTATGAGATGGTTTTCTCCGTCTATCCGTCCGTCTGTTCTTCGTCTAACTCGAAAACGAAAAGCTCCAGCGACGGCAAATCTTTGCCAATCGATTTCAAGGGGGAGTTCAGTTCAGTGCTATTGAATATGAGCCGGATTAAAAGTTGTGTTTCCGAATCACTGATTGACAAAAAATTCGCCTACTGAAAATCATATCAGTCAGAATCAAGAGAACAACTGAATCTTGATTTGCTTCGGCGTTTTCTATACAAATGACACTATTGGACTTATTAGCATAGGATCCATAGATTCATTAATTTATTTTTCGAACAAAAACAATTCTAGAAATGAGGGATGTAATTTCCTACAACCATAGACAGTAGACAAACAAACAATGCAAAATATTACTACAAGAACCGAGTAGCACTTTTGGACTTTGTCCCGCCATTTGTTTAGGAACCGATATGGGAAAGAAAGGAGAGAAACCAGCAGAACAAAGCTATCTGCAACTTTGACTTTGGTTTTGTCAAATTCCTATACACCAAAATATC